GTTCTTTTTTCTTATTCTTTTGTTATTACTTTATTTATTTATATTTTTGTATATACGGTATGAATGCAATCTCTGAACTCTATTATAAGTGTCCTTAAACTGTGACAAATTGTAATATTTCTGAATAAAGTGTTTTAATAATAATAACCAAAATTAAATTAAATATTTACAATTCTCATTAAAATGAAAATACTTGAAGAAAATTAAAACAAACACACTAAATATATACAATATATATAATATATAATACAAACATATGAAAATAAAATAATATAAGTAAACAAAATAATTTCTGGAAGAACTTAAAAAGTTCTCTTATCTACTTTTCTTGATCAGTCGGGTTGAGAAAGAAGTAGGTGTTTAAAAAAGAGAGATGTAAATGAGGAAACTGATTGCGCATGTCGGATATCGGGAGGGATGGTATTTCAGATGGAGACGGCTTGAATTATGAAGGATTTGTCAAACGAGGAGGTGGGCAGAGGTCAGAAGTACCGGATCTAGTGGGACGGGATTGAATGGAATATTTAAATTGTAGGCTGTGAAAAATACAGGAAGGTCGCTAAGTTCTGATGGCTTGGCATAGAAAGGTAGCAAGGAAGTACAGACGGCGGTTGGATGGATAGAGCCACTTCAACCTGGTGTAATACTGGGTTATATGCGTATGTCTTGAGATTCCGAAGATAAAACGTATTGTGCAGTTCATTAGGCATTTAAGTTTGGCTTCGAATTCTCCCGAAAGTCCGCCGTACATAAGACAGCCATAGTCGAAGTGGGGTAACACAAGGGAGAAAACTAGGAGTTGTCGGGATTTATATGGAAGGAGATAGCGGAGACTGTTTCAGGGTAGAGATAGTACGGCGGGAAATTTGGAAGATGTGTGGTTTCCAGGAGAGGGTTTGATCAAAGGTTACACCAATGTTGTTTACGGAAGTGTGGAATGAGATAGCTGAGTTATTCAGGAAAAGATTTCCGTTGAAAACTCAAATTCGAAAATTTTCACGATCGCAATACTTTCCCTTACTATATATTACATATATAGGTAAGTGAAAGTAAAAAAAGAAGCAAAAAAATCGTTCTTCTAATTTCCGAGATAATCGTGGCACAGACAGACAGACCTATGGCTGGAAAATGTGTTCGGGGGCTCTAATACGTAAAGATCCGTCAAAAATGTGGTAGAGGTTGGAAAGTAAAAAACGAAACCTTCTATCACCACTTGATAGAACTTAACATGTACTAGGTTATTTTGATATGTGATATATGAGCTACAAAACACGGTAAATACCCAAGATAGTGGGAGCATGTGAAATCATCTCCACGACAACGCGAATAAGAAAGCAACTCTAGTGTATTTTATTCACTATGATCATACCGTTATAATATCCATACTCAGCATTTAATTTATAGTAGTCTACCAACTCAATATGGCGCCATATTTACATATTTGTTTATGCTGGATCACTTAGTGAAGATTTATTGAGCTTGATATAACCCTATATCGACTTGGAGACTTACTTATCAACCCCGCTCCTCTTATTTACCCCAATTTTTCTACAAGGAATAATTTTTATAATATTTGTTTTTTCAGTATGTATGAGGAGATGAATGCAAGTCCTGTTGTAAAGAAATCTCGAGAAGAGGAAACCAAAAGAAATATTGAAGAAGGAGATGCAGGTTTAACTAATGTTTTGTTTTTTACACCTCAAGTTTTGTAAACAGAAGCATTCCCTTAATACGTAAACAAATAAGTTCATATGTGATTTAGGCTTAGCAGGTTTTGTATTTGTTATTGAAAACTGTTTGTTTCTGTTTATAGGTATGCTGGCAGTAGCAATGATATGAAAAGAGGTCAGCATTTGTCAAGACTACAACTATGTCTGAATCCAATAATGAAGTGATAGAATAATTTTTGAAAATGTATCTGATACTTTTTAATTAATAAAGTTTATTAAGCTACCTTATGCTAATTCATTAAAGTAAAAATAAACTTGATGAATATTTTACTTTGTTTATTATTCTATAATGCTCCCATTATTTATATTAACATTTGTTTCCGGTGCCATTAAAGACCATGTAGATCTTTTGCCGCCTTAAGAAGCCTGTTCCTTCTCTGCACACATTTATCTGTTGTATCTTTGTTGATTCTATCTATCCATCTGATGTTTCGCCTTTCACGTGGACTTTTGCCTTCTTTTAAGGCATTCATTGTTACTTAGAGGCTTCCAAATGGATTGCTACTAGCTACATGCCCAGTCTATCTTAACCTCCGTGCCTTCATATCATGGGATATTGAGTCACCATTTTCTGTAAGCAGTTTTTTGTTATTCTTTCTTCTCCATGTGTTAGTACTCTGATCCCAGATCGCCCCGGTTATCGTGCGGAGGATTTTTTCTTAAATCTTTCAGCACTTTTTTCTAGGATGCTGGCTAGTGTCCAGGTCTCACTGCCATATATTAGAACTGGCTTTATTATAGCATTGTACACCCTTAATTTCAAATTTATTGAGATTTTTCGGGATTTCAATACCTTTGAAAGGGAGAAATCTATGTTTGCGCTAATTATACGCAGGTCTGTTTCTGCGCTTTGGTCATTCATTGAGGTTATTGTGGAGCCGAGGTATATGTTATTGCAGTGGACTTTTCGGCTTATTATCATATATTTTCTTTTTTCTTCATTTACTTATAGGCCGTTCTGCTCTGTTTCTCTTGTAAGAGTCTTGGCGAGTTTTTCAATGCCCTCTTGATTACTTCCAAGGACTGCTATATCATCTGTGTATCCAAGGATTTTATGATTCATTCCAACGTGGACCCCTCCGTTTTCTTGGAATGTTCTTATTAACTTCTCCAGGGCTAAGTTGAACAACATCGGTGATGGTCCATCTTCCTGGCGTAAACCCGTTCGAACTTTAATGGCTTCAGATACTTATCACCAACTTACGGGGAACTCCCAGTTCAGTCATGATTTTTCCAAAACAGCTCCTGTCCACAGAATCATAGGTTACTTTGAAATCGACAAATAGGGCGTGAACGACCTCAGGTGCTTCCCATGACGGGTACAAATTAGATCATCTGCTACGATTGCCTTAATTAATATAAATACCTAGATAAGAAAACCTTAAAGGTTAATGGCATATGATCCACTTTCTGACCTCTCCACCGTTAGCATTATTGAAAGTGAATCTGAAATTAATCTTAGAAAGGTTTCATCTTAGTTGATTTGAAAGATCGTCCACGTAAGCGGAGGTAACGCTTTGAAAATCTGAGCAGGTAAAGTCAAGAATATTTATAACAATCCTTGCACATGGACCTCAGTGAAAAACACCTAATTTTGCTTTGTACAAAGACCTAAAAGACGCTGCCGGAGTCTCGCGGGGACGGAATGTTACCCGGCAACCTGAAGATTACGAGTACGAGTTTCGGAGCTTTCAACTCTGGCATTAATCCCTCGCCTTCTTCCCTAGCTCAGAAAAAAAAAAACATATAGCCAAAAAGGTGAGGTAGGAGAGAAAAATAACTACTGGAAGAAAATATCACTGATATTTTCAAGGATTTCAAGGGATTTGTATTGTTTTTTTTTCTTCCCTACCTCACTTTTTTAGGCTATACGGGATTTTCCCGGACCGGGGAATTTAAAATCCCCTCCAGCACCGGGACGCGAACTCGTACTTTTTAATAATCTCAAATCTGTGTTATCAGATTGCCAGGAAACTCGCGGTGCTGTGCACACGCTTTAGCACATTCGGCCACCCCGCCCTCTCCCACATCTTATGGTATGGCATTATAAGTTGAACGAGATTTAGCTCGTCTCTTTATCTATCGATTGAATCACCGATGATCGATGGACCCACTGGATCTGGCTAAAAAAGAGCTTATTAGATGCTTTCCCCATGTTCGATGTTTCAGACGCTTACAGTGACCAGTAACAAGCTTCTAAGCAAAAGCAGCAATAGGTGTTTGGTTCTGATGGAACTGCCATGCTAAGAATAAATATTAGCTGGCGTTATAACGAAAGTTGAAAATTGATTATACAGTCGTAAGCTTCCTAGGTAAAGCAATTAATAAAGTAATGTAGTTAGAAATTATCTTCATAACAAAAAATATAAATTAGCCATTCTTTGTGGGAGGAAAGGTGCGATAGAATCGAGGGCATTCGGCGATTCAAGTCTAATCGATTTGGCTTAATATGTCTTTCTATTTAAAAATCTATTTAAAAAAATTAAAACTGTATTAAGGGTAGCATTGTGTCGTGATAATAAAACACTTGTATATAGATTATTAATGCCATTTTGCCTTTGGGAATAACTTGTAATTTGTCTGTCTATGATCAAGTTTTATTGAAGGAGATAAATTGTCAATTTTATTAACTAACGTATCATTTATACTTACATCAAACTACTGAAACAAAATTATATTTTCTTGGGCACAAGAAAATAGATATACAAATCTTGAATATTTTTCCAGAAGGCAGTAATGCATTGAACAGCTGATCGGGAGTAGACAGATAATTCTGTTTTGTGTGATAAAGTAACAGTTGATGTATCAAAATGTCATGGCGAAAAGAATATTGATTTAAATGAATTGAATAAAGATAAAGAAAGAAAAAATCATATATCTTTGAATTGCCAATTAGAATATCAAGTTTCTTGTATTAGTTGATAAAGTTACTTACAACAATGACTATTAAAAGTTATTTGTGTAATATGGAATTATATTTAAAAGATGATAGTAGTTGTATGAATATAAGTGTTTCTGGAGGTCTGCCGATGCATACATTTCAGAATTCCTTTACTCACCAAAAATTTGGTTTAATTATTGGTCGAATGAAATTAGAATATTAGAAGTCGATACTACAGAAATTGATCAGGGAATGAATTTTGTAGAGAAAAGGATCTCTTTCATGTCTGTGATAGATATCTGTGTTTATTACCATTTTTTAAACACATTTATACTTTTGGAAATAGGAAACATTATTTAGAAAAATGATCCCCAGAAAGAGTTTTTAACATGGGAGGGACAGTGAGCCACTTTTTTCAATCGGGAAGTGCCCTCTTATCAGCAGGGAATCATAGGGGATGTAATGAACAAACCAGAGCGAAGATCAGAACTGTCTTTGATGCCCTTAGAGCGAACCCTAAAGTGACAGCTCATCGCTTGGATGGTCTTCTATCCCAAATACCGAAGGTAATCTATTAAATAAATTATTGCTTATGTTATTAAATCATTAATTAATTTATTTATTTCCCTTCAGAGTGAAAATATTCTAGTCGTTCATAATGAAGAAGGATATAATTTACTTCAAAAATGTGTTGGAATCAATAATGTTGATATGGTTAGATGGATACTATCTAGAAATACTGACTTAAATCGAGGCCCTTGTTCATTTCCTCTTCATATAGCCTGTTTGAAAGGGTAAATTATGTTTTAGTTCAGAAATTCATTGATATCCTCAAAAAAAAATACAGGTTATAAATGTATTATTGATTTTCTCAAGACTTATATTTTATTTTTTTCATTTACAAAATGTTATGTAACTGAAGTTATGAAGATTGTGTGGAACTTCTTCTGAAGCATGGCGCAAGGATAGATGTAGAAGCCCGAATGTGTTGGCCTGGTCCTCATAATCAGGCCTGTGAAGAAAGAGGAAAATTTTGTAAGGCCATTTTTCTGTGTATATTTTTGTAGAATTTTAGCAGAGCAAAATATTTTAGAACATAATATTTTTTAGAATTTTTTTCCATTATATAGATAACTTTTATTAGTTTAGTTTTTTTAAAATGTTATGTAACAAGTAGTGCTGAGTTTATATAAGTTATATAATTGTGCTCACATTTCATTATTTAATGTGAATTAAAGATTGTTCATACAATGTGTTATTATACTATCTGTTTTTGAGTTTTGAGAATTTTATAATGAAACTTTGTAGACCTCAGTTGTGTTAGGTGGTGAAATCAACTTAATAGTATGTCGTGTATCTTTTCCAATAGACTTAATTCTGGAATTAAACATCAATTTAGAAAATTAAAAATTAAATTGATTTTATATCAGTGATTTTTCTTATTCAACATATCCTGACGGTTTGAATTGTTTAAAAACACATCGAGCATAGTTAAAGAGATTTTATTTTTTAAAAGGAATTTCTTCCATAATAGCAAATAATATTAGAATTCTTTAATACTTTTAAAAATACTAACAAAATAGAAGAATATTTCTGAAAAGAATATTATAATAATAACCTTTATTTGTACATAAATATGAAAAAATATATATATACAATTTTTTATATTGTTTCATACCTAGTATTAACATATGTATTGGGTTGACAAATAAGTCCTTTAGGTTTTTCTGTTTACATTATGTCACTATGATACACTTCTTATCTGATGAATTAATCCCTAAGGTGGATTGTTTATTCTGTTTGTAATATGTCAATAACTATAACGTTTAACTCTTGTTTAAAGTAGCTTAGTATTGTGTTTGCTATTGCACTGTGAATATGGAATAAAATTTCATTCATTATCGGCATATTTTGTTGTATTATTTTAAAAAAGGTAAGCGTGCTGCAGAAGCTTATAGAAAATTTATCAATGTTTATGGGGATGATGTCTTAACCGAATGCACCTGTCAAAATTGGTTTGTGAAATTTTATTCAGGAAATTTTGATATCAATGATGCTCAACTGTCTGGTCTCATGAGATTGAAATGAGCAATGTTAAGGCCATTGTTGATCAAAATCTCACCAAATCAGTGCAAGAGATTACTATGGCCCTAAATGTATTGCACACAAGCTTAGAAAACCATTTGCACAAGCTTGGCTATGTTTCCAGGCTTAATGTTTGGGTCCCTCACTATCTAACTGAAGTCATCTTGGCAATACGCATTTCTGTTTGTGATTCACTATGCATTTTTGAAAAGGTTGGTAAAAGAAGATGAAATATGGATATTTTACGATAATGTAGTCTGCAAAAAATCTTGGGGATCTAGTAGAGAGGCTCCTAGAAGAATGTCAAAACTGGGATTGCATCCAAAGAAGATAATGCTTTCCATATGGTGGGATTTCAAGGGTGTTATTTTCTATGAGCTATTGCCATCAGGACAAACAATTGATTTAACTCTATACTGCTCACAATTAACAAAATTGGATCAATCAATTAAAAATAAACGCTCAGAACTGGCAAATCTGAAGGGTGTTGTGTTCCACCAAGTCAATGCTTAGTCCCACATCATCATTGGTCACTCGCAATAACTTATTGAGCTTCGGATGGCACCTTTTGCCCCACCCTCCCTATTCACCAGACCTAGCTCCAAGAGACTACCACTTATTCCATTCTCTGCAGAACTCCATGAATGGAAATAAATTCCAAAAGGAAGAGGACATCAAAAACCACTTGGATCAGTTTTTTAACAATAAAGTTCAGACATTCTATGAACATTGGCATTATGCAGTTAGTGGATAGATGAGAAAAAGTCGTATTAAATAATGGTCAATATGTTGTAAATTAAAATAAATGTTATGTCTATAATACATTGAGTCTACAATTAAGCTAACCAGCACCATAGAAAAAAGTGTTGAAAGATTTGATAGAAAAATCCTCTGGAGCGATCTGGGATCAGAGTACTATCACATGAAGAAGAAAGACCAATAAAGAACTGCTTACAGAAACTGTTCAATCAATATCCTATGATATGAAGGCACGGAGGTTAAGATGGGCATGACATGTAGCTCTTAGGAATCCATCTGGAAATCTCTACGTAACAATGAATGCCTCAATAGAAGGCAAAAGACCACATGGAAGGTCTAAAAGAAGAGGGATAGATAGAATCAACAAAAATGCAGAGCTGCATACAGATAAAAGGAAAGAAATATCCCAAAACAGAAAGATATGGAGCAGGCCTTGTTAAGGCGGCAAGGGGGCGGGGTGGCCGAATAGGCTAAAGCGTGTGTAACAGCACTGCTAGTTGCCTGGCAACCGGATAACAGAGATTTGAGTTCGCGTCCCGGTGCCGTGTTAAGGCGGCAAAAATATACATGGTCTGTAATGCAAACGAAAAAAAAAAAAAAGTTTTATTTAACCCTGAAAAACCAAAAAGGACTTATTTGCCAACCCAATACACAATCGACTTTTTAGTTGATGTTTTAAGTTCTATCATGTTCTATCATTCTTGCAACCACACTAGTAGAGCACCTGTCGTGTCCATTTCCACTGTTTCCTCTGTAATGCTACTCTCTTCCAGGCTGTTCCTCTGCAAAATTTCTTCATCTCCTTGTCCCAATCTGTCGGTGGGCATCCTCTCTTGCTCTCTTTGATACTAGTCCATAAACTGCCTCGTCTATGTTATGACATTCCTTCTGATGACATTTCCTGTCCAAATCCACTTATGTGCATTTTTTTCCCCCCGCACTTAAAATTTGCATTAAAAAATTGCATTTTTTTTTTCGAACTTAAAATATCTGGGAGGTCAGTTTTTGTTCTGATCTATTTATTACATTTTCGATATTGCAAGAAGGTATCGCTCCATACCTCTGACTGTCACTCCCTCTTTGTTTTAAGTCTTTTTATCCATGTTTCAAAACCGTAGTTAATTACAGGAAGTACTGTGCTCATCCACAGATTCTATATTGTAATAAACACCTTAATTAGAAGTTGGTAAAATGGTTTAATAAATTAATGTTGAACTAAAACTGTTCAAAGGCAAGCTAATCTAGTTCTACTAGTTCAGGGAAAAGGAAATAGTTGTTCTATAGTTTCCGCAAACGGGGAAATTCCAAAGAGGGGAGGGGACAAAGAATTTTGTTTTGGGAAGAGTTAGTGTTAGGCTGGGGCGAAGAGAGGATAGGAGAAGTGATCCTGGCTCCAGTGGGTAAAACCCAGTAATAGTATTACCATCTTGGGAGTTGTTGTTTGGCAGAGAGACTAGTTCTTTAGGAACTACAAGAGAGAGGATCTCCCAGGGTGCTTGGGTTGAGTAGAGGAAAGTGTCACCATTTTGGAAGGTGTGTTTGGCGGAACATAGGAAAATGTTCGAAGTCAAATGAATTCAGTTCCACATAAGAAGAAACAGTGTATATAGAGAAAGATTAGCTTGCCAATCCATACTTGACTTTATTTTAAAATCAAACAGTGTTTAGTGTAGTTAATGTTAGTTTTTCTGAGTGTTTTCATCTGATTGTCAGTAGCCCACAGCTGAGATAAAATAATTATAAATTTCAATTTAATATATTAATATTCTTATTATTTTACTACCTCTTATTTATTTAGGAATTATCTCCACAATATAAGGGGATCTTCCGAGTTTATATTATTATTTGAAAAAATATAAGAGATATTACAATATATATATTCTTAAAGATGTAGAGATGGTTGACCGTTGATATAATATGAGAAGGAGTTAATCGGGGGGCGTGGTCAAATAAATACTAAATTAAAATATAGCAATTATTTAATTTTTGCCAACGTTTCGACCCACTTTGCAGGTCGTGTTCAGGGCTACAAAAGATACCAAACATGGTGAAAATAAAAAAATGAATATAAGTACATATAAAATAAGAAGAAATTGTCAGATACAGAAATAAAAAGATGATATCAGAGATATAGTGGGTGACAATGTAGTTAAAATATCAAGTCTTATATATGTGGAAGATACAAAGAAACGGAGAATAAGTATGAATAAAAATAAAAAATAAAGGAGAATATAGCATGTAAGTTAAAAGTAAACATATTGCGATAAAAGATAAAGAATAAGTGTATAACAAACTAATAGAGATTACATTTGATAACTGTGAACATTCTAAAGTTCTCTTTTAAAATAATTGTTTTCTTATAGATTTATTCATACTTAATAATCTATCCTAACGATATCACACTAATGTTACCTTTCAATCTTTTAATCTTTCAATTTCTTTCCTTCTTAGCCTTTAGTCCCGTTATCTGTTTACTTACAATCAAATGTAACCTCCACTAGCTTGTTATCCACTGATATCTTATTATTATGTTATCTTATTCTTATTTTAACTTTACTATAACAATACTTATTCAATTTTCAATCTGTTTATTCGTTAACATTCATTTTCTTTATCTGTTAACCCACAGTTATCAAATGTAATCTCTATTAGTTTGTTATACACTTATTCTTGATCTTTTATCGCAATCTGTTTACTTTTAACTTACATGCTATATTCTCCTTTACTTTTTATTTGTATTCATACTTATTTTCCATTTCTTTGTATCTTCCACATATATAATACTTGATATTTTAACTACATTGTCACCCACTATATCTCTGATATCATCTTTTTATTTCTGTATCTGACAACTTCTTCTTATTTTATATCTACTTATATTCAATTATTTTATTTTCATCATGTTTTGTATCTTTTGTAGCTCTGAAAAAAAAATTAAATAAATTACTATATTTTAATTTAGTATTTATTTGACCGCGCCCCCCAATTAACTCCTTCTCATATATTCTTAAGCTTAAAGAGTGCGCGCCATCCTTGTTTATATTGCCTGCTTATTTCTTCAGTTTGACTTTTAATTAAGATAAGATGTCTTAGATATAGAAATGTTTCTACTTTCTCTATGTTTGTGTTTTTATTTATTTATCCGCTCGACTGCCCTTACAGCGCCTGAAGCTGCCCTTGCCCCTCTCAACTGCCCTTTCCCAATCATTTCTGTCAGCAGCATGTCTGCTTGATACTCCCACCATCATCGAGTCCTCGGCCATGGAGTCCTTCCACTTTCCCTTCGCTCTTCCACGTGGTCTTACTCCACCCGGGGTTTCATAATGTAATTTCCTCACAGCTCTACCTTCGTCCATTCTGATAATGTGTCCCAGCCATTTTAAGCGCTGAATTAGCACAAAATGAGAAACTCGGAAATCGTTGAATAAGTCGTAGATCTCTTTGTTCTTTCTTAAACGCCATGTACCATTCTCTATAACTGGCCCCATGATGCGCCTTAACACTTTTCTTTCAAAACCTTCAATCTTTTGCGTAGGGTCCAGGTTGCACTGGTATAGCTCAGTACAGGTTGGTAATTGTTTTTTATATAATCATTTTCATGTTTGTATTCATCTATTTTTATATCTCCTTCAACATTCACTGATATGTATTTGCGCTTCTTATAATTTATTTCGAGCTCTATATTTCTACTTGTTAGGATTTCTGCTTTAGATTTTCCTATTAGGGCTTAATCATTCGCAAACTTTAAATGGTTCAGCCATTCTCCAAGCGTTGTTATTCCTTTGCTCTGTCAATCAGTTTGCATCAGATCATGAAGAATTGATATAAATATTTTAGGAGAAAGGGTATGATGAACACTATTGGCATTTATTATTTAAATGTTACTTAATAATCTATAAATACATTTTATTGAATCAATGTTTTGGTTGTAAAAAAAATTATTATATATTTTTTTTTAATCAGGTGTACTTGACGACAGAGCAGACAGGACAAGTGAAAAACTTCAGAGTGCCATTTGTTATGCTATCGATGGAGATCAGGTATTTTATAAACTATTTTGTTTCTAATTATTATTTCATTTTGCTATGATAGAAAAAAAAATCAAATAATATTCCTCTGATCACATTTACCAATGTGTTTCATCTTTCCATATTTAGAGAAAAACACGTCAGTCTAAACGATGTTCAATTCTTATTAAACAGATGATTCTTTTTTTTCTAAATATTTTCTTAAATATTCTTTATTTTTTGGTGAAATATCTGAAGATTTTTTATGAAAATAGTTCAGCTGAAAGTAAGAAGTGATCTGAACACTTTGGGGATTGGGATTGGGAACTATTTTTTGTACTTGTGGGGGACATGGTCTCTATGGACTGTTATCTGCCAATGTTTATAACCTGAACACTGATAATCATGATAAAGCACTGATAATTCCTATCTTCATATAAAATTCAAAACCACAAAAATAAATGTAATAATAACAAAACACTTTTATTTTACTACATATATACATATAAAACACTTTCATTTTACACATACAGCGCATATATGTACAAATGTAATAATAACAAAACACATCTGTTATACATATTGAATGTTGTATCCTTTCCAACAGTCGGAATAAATGGTGCTTCCCTCATCTATATTATTTTTAATGCATTGTAATAAAGTTCTTTCCTTTCTGTTCTTTATTTTTATGATGAAACACTCGTCTGTTTCTCGACAAACTCCGCCGAACATCCATTCTTCAGGGAGAACTCTCCCTACATGATTTTTTCTTTTAGAAAAAAGACTCTCGTCTACTTCAACCACTTTCCCAGGCCAATTTTCTTAGTTGACCTGTATAACATGTTATGGGCACAAATCTCTCTTAAAAATTTGTTTCACGTTATGATACATCTGTTCGATAGTTCTAGCTCCTCTTTGCCCCACTGTATTGTCAAATTATGAGACTACCCATAGATTAATTTTAAAGTAGTTGAAAAGGTAATCTTCGACCCCTCTAACCATGTTTCCTTCCCTTATAGATATGTTTTTCTTACAAGTGTTACGAAAGCATCTCCATTTCGTCTTCCCGTTGAACTTCATTTCATGACCTTCATCACAATATTTCACCTTTGCAATTTTCCCGACGTCTTGAAAATATTTGATAACCTCTTCTTCTGAAATATCACCTCACAATGTAATAACATCCATTTCAATAACGCACATGCAACAACTTACACTAGATAAATAGCTGGTTATGTGACGGAACATAAGATAAGGTGACATAAGATAAGAAGGGAGGTTTACCAGAGACCAGACCGTTCACAAGTACTCTATTTTTAATTGAATCTGTAAACAAAGTTATTCATTAAAGAAATATTTTAGTCTTTTGGGTTGAAGCCCTTCAAAATAGAAAAAAACTGCGGTGTGCGCTTTAGACCACACAATGGAAGTAAAAACATCAACAAGGCGAGATTAATAATATGAAATATACATTTTTTTTTACACTGTTTTCACAAATTAATAACGTTTACAGTTTATGTAATTATATTTGTGTATAAATTACTATAATAAACTTTGTTCTGACTGATCGTCATTTGTATCATGCTCTAAAAATTATGCAATAGGTTTATGATTACTATAATATGTGATGAATACTTTTGATTAATATCTAATTAATCATTCTATCTTACGTACCTACCTATATATGATTAAGAGAAAAGACACAGATTATTGTGAATCGTATGAAGTTAAGGATGACATGAAACATATATTGAAATCGTACATTAAATATGCTGCAGAGAGATACCATTTCATCAATAAAATTAAAACTCTAATAAATAAAGATAATTCATCTTATATTGATATAATAACAATATTTAATTCTGTTCTGGAAGTGTTGTGTCACTTTATGAAGTCCATTGGTATTAAATTACCTCTAACAATGAATGCCTCAATAAAAGGCAAAAGACCACGTGGAAGGCCAAAAAGCAGATGGATAGATAGAATCAACAAAGAAGCAACAGAGCTGTGTACAGATAAATGGAAAGAAATAGCGCATGACAGACAAAGATAGAGCAGGCTTGTTAAGGTGGCAAAAGATCTACATAGTCTGTAATTCCAACAGAAAAAAAAAAAAAGAAAAAAAGGTTTTAAATTATAAAAAATAAAGGTTGTTAGTTAATGATCTAACTAAATAATCATTTGGAACAATTACTATTTAAAATTTTGGCTAATGGCGTTTAGCTAAAGCCTTGTATAAAAAAAAAACATCCAATAAAATCTTTGGTACTTGCAAGTTATATTTTTATTCTGTTGATTAGGTTGAAATACTTGAACTCCTGATGCAGCAGGGTGAAGATCATTGGTTACCATGGCAACAAAAGCGCCCCCTTCTTCACATTGCCTGTGAACGCGGAGCCTGGAACTGTGTAAAATATCTCGTCGCCGAGAGATCTGATGAGATCAATCAATGTTATGATGAATATTATCCCATTCATCAGGCTGCTCTTAGGCCTATCAAGTTTTTGGAACTTTTGATTGGGTAATATTTTTTAGTACAAATTAGTTTTTTTAGTAATAGATACAAAATCAAAGTTCTAAAAGTTTTTGTATACATTTTTCAATTTCACTAGAGTAACAGAAAATTCTCTTTCAAGAAAAGTATTTAGAGAATTAGTAATTTTGTCGTTCTAGTAGATACATAAAATAGCACTTGAAAATTTTATATTTGTATTTATTTTTTCATAAATTAATGTGAATATAGAGAACATTACAATAAAATCATAATGCTGCTCGCTCTCATAATGCTGTGTTGAGTTGCTAACTGATATAGCATAGTAATCCATCTGATTGACAATATCTAGTAAGTTTTACCAGACTTTCTTATACACAGAGTGCTTTGTATATAAAAATATTATTTGTTATTGTTTTCTTTCTCTCCTCATTGAGAATTCTGTCCAAGGTAGTAACATCCACCCGAAATTTCAGAAAAAATGTTATGAATGAAAAGAAACATTATTTGCGAATCACTTAAAAAGTATACATTTTTTTCTGGATTAGACCCATGATTATTGAAATAGTTATTGATTCCCCAACAAAACAAAAAAAAAAAAAAAATTATCTCTCATGATACATTGATTTATTTATTTTTATATTATACTAGCTGTACCCGCCCACGCGATGCTGTGGCTTATTCTGGTTGAAATAGAAAAGAAATCAGATGTTTTTAATATATTTTATTTAACAATACTTGTGGATATACGATATTCTTTGTATAGATATAGAGATTATCTGGTTTTCCAACTCTAAAATTCGCAACATATAATTGTCTATATCGGTCTCTAAATTGCCCAAGAAAATTTTTTAAATGTTTAAAGCATTATAGCTCTCCACCAAATTGTCCGATTTTATTTTTGATTTGCAGGGAATCAAGTAAGCTTTCAAATAATGATGGGTATAATCAAACGAAATTATGTACTTTTTGAGTTATTCACAAATATAGTTTTGAACCCATCATAACTTTGTTTTCATACTCTTTTCGGGGAAGGATGTTATATAGTGTAATGTAAATATTACATCGTGATTTTAAATAATGGGGCGAAGGCATTGACGTCACAAATTACTGTCAAAAATGGACAAAAAAAGTTTGAAGTGAAAGCAAGTGCCATATGTTAAGGCAGAAGGTAGCCAGCCAGCTAGAAGAGAGGATCTATACCATAAATAGTGACATGTGACTCACAAGTAGTGAGTGTGAACAAGAAGTTAAACACAACAATACAGAGGAAGATTCACTGCAGAACAGGGTGAGTGAAATATAGAATAGTGAGTTCGAAAGCACGCCAAGATTAGACCCCGACAAAAGAATGGAATTTCATAAATATGTTATATAAAATTAATGTATGCCTTTGGATTGATTATATGTTTGAGGTATGTGTGTTTGTTGTCTCAACCCAACCTGAGAAATAATTATTGATTAAAATAAATATAATTTGATTCAGAAAGTGTTTTTTTTACTTTTCAAAGGAAACGTAACCTTACAATACATAAATTAAAAGGGTTTCAAGGAGAAGACTTTAGCCATATTTAATTAAAATTGTTACAGCTGTTTAGGCTCTACAGTCTATAGCGACACTGGTTTTATGGCCGCCTTTCCGAAACGAAAGACCGGAGGGTAACTAAATGTATATAAAAACACTCCTGAATGACATTATGTCAATATTTCAAAACAATCGATGAAGAAGTTTCGGAGATTAGCAGTTTGAACAAACGAATATTTACGTTTTTATTAATATATATTGTCTGTTATTCACTAGCCGTTATTCTATGCTAATTATTTGCATGGGCCAACTAGTAATATATTATTATGTGAATTAAAATATTTTCCTAATATGATATGTTGTATGTGCACTTTTTTTCATTGTTATTATTGTATAATTTTAACATTTTGTTATTTGTCATTAGAAAGTAGGAATTAGTTTAAGAAAAGAGATAAAAATATATGAGGAAAGAAGAGCGAGATAGAAGGAAAGGAAACTGAATGTTATGAAAAAAAAATGCATGAAGAATAAAAAAAATATTTTACGGTACTAATATATACTGTAATGGTACTGTATATCTATATTTTGTTTTAAAGATTTCCCATTATGGTTAGTAAGTATGCTGTGTATTTAGCAACCCAATATAATTAGAGAGCACTCTTTTTATGAAAATAAAGTGTTTCTCTCTTAGGATAGATATCTAAAGTTATCCTCTGTTATGCTAATTAAGTATTCAAAATTGCCATTAGATTATAAAAAATCAATCTTATTTCCAACCATTTAAGTCCTCTTTTCTGTCGCTGATTATTATATTATATTTTTTAATTTTTTGTTAGATGTGGTGCAACCACTAGTGTCTGCACTGCAACTCAGCAAATGACTGTCCTTCATCTAGTCTTTTTACTCGGACGGAAGAGTGCTGAAGAGACTCTTCAAACTTGTAAACTTCTTCTAGACCACGGGCTTAGAGAAAAGATAAATCAACCTGATTCTCTAGGTAATACGCCTCTACACGGCCTTATCGTGCGATACGCTTTAGAGGAGGCTCGCTATGGTTATGATTCTGATAATCAACCGTGGAATAAGTGGGATGTTCTCCATTTGGTAAGTTTATATTATCATTTTATACAGTATCATGATGGAGACATCTTTATTACAATACATCTATCCTAAGAATTATAGGGGGATTGGAAAGTAATGCCTTTTCTGAGCTTGTTACTATTTTATTGTCATTTGGCGGTCCATTGTGTACATCTATGTTATGGCATAGTCATTCTAAGGTTATAATGATCCTATCTACTAGATCCAAGGTGGTTGGAGATTGTGTTAGAATTCTCAACTAATTGTCTAGACTTAATAAGGTACACATTGAATGGGTTCCGGGTCACTCGGGAATTCATGGAAATGGAATGGCTGATGAACTAGCCAGACAAGGCTCTCAAACAACACCAATAGCTCCGGAACCCATCTGTCGTATTAGTCAGTGTCTGACAATAAACAGAATCGGAGAGATACATGGTGCTGAAAACAAAAGGAACTGGTCTTTGAAAAAGCAGACCCACTTGAGACTGTTTCTGGAAGGAATCTGCCAAAAAAGAACCAACTTACTAATTAATCTGAGCAGGAGCTCACTTATGAAAATTACAGCAGCATATGCAGGGCACTGTAAACTAAATTATCATATGCTCAAACTCCGGCTCACAGAGTCATCTCTCTGTAGGTACTGTGGGCGGGAGGATGAGACAGCTTATCTTATTACTTGCTGGTGCGATAGGTTTGCTGGATTAAGATTCCGATTATTCGGCACTGATAGGGAGAAGGATCCCAAGGCAAACGAGTTTATCAATCCAACAAGCTTATTACAGTTCTTTGAGACTGCAGGAATTACACTCTAACTGAAGTGACTTCAAACTAGGCGTAAAATAGGCCTATATGGCCGTAGTGCACTCTTGACGCCTGAAAAATAAAAAAGAGGTTATAATGACTTTTTTAGTTGCAAATAAATTAAAATATATTTTTGCAATTTTTGGTGAAATGGCCAACTAAATACCAGAAGAAGTACATATTCGGCAATGCATGCTTTTTGAGTTTTGCAAGGGATTGTAACGCAACAGTTGCTTCCAAAAATATTTACGATATTTATCCAAATGTATTATACATAAATGCCGAAGGTGGTTTTTCAAATTCATATCCCCTTTAATTTTAATCTTTCTGACTCGAATCGATCAGGAAGACCAGTAATGTTAGACAATGACGTGTTAAGGGTGGAAGTCGAAGCAAATCTATGTCAGACTTAAGTCTTAAGCAACCTTGATCGACCATCCAAGAATATTTGCGGCAGATTGGGAAACCATCATATGCAACTTATTACTTCCAAAAAAGGCCCTTTTGTGTGTTAGGTGGGATATTTCTGGGGGTTGCTCATTTTGAAGTGCTGAAACCTAGACAAACTGTGAATACAGACCTTTATTGCAAACAATTGGATTGTATGAATCAAGCTTTAACTGAAAAGTGGCCAGTGATTGTGCGATTTTCAGTAGAAAAGGCGTTATTCTGCAACACGGAAATGCAAGATTGTACCGCATAAGACGAACCCTGGAAAAAATTAGTGAATAGGGGGGGAGAGGTACTGCTTCATACATCGTACTCGCCCGGTGTTGCACCATTTATTCGGATTGTTTCAACATTTTCTAAGTAGTAAAAGATTTCTTATGCCTAGCGATGCTGGTTCGAATCCGGCCTCAATGATCAATAATGTATGTTGAGAAAATTAACAATAAAATAATTATAAAACAACAAATGATGAATTAGAACTTCAAACTTGTAAAAAAATATCAAATTATATATTGTTTTATTTTAGATGAGTGTATATATCAATATGCGTATTGTTACAGATATATTAATTTTATATCACAGTATGCTTTTTTTTTCTTTTTTTTTTCAATTTTTCATCTTCCTTTATTTTTAAAGTTTACTTCATTAATTAAAATTTAAACATTAAAATTATATGAGCCTTTCAGTTGACAGACAGGCCTTTCAGCCCTATCAATTGAAAAGTTCATATATGTCAAAGAACTTATAAATATTTATGCAGTTAAAGTAGGAAAAAAATTATCAATTTATTGAAATCATGTAGTATCATTTTAATAAATATATAAAACACCCTTCAGTACTTGTTGTCTAAGGGGCCGCCCCTGACTGCTACCTGCCAATGTTTATAACCTGAACACTGATAACTCCCATAAGCCTTCTCCTACTTCACATCTTCGTATTATTGCATTAAATTCGTATTATTGAAAGTGTAAACAGATACAAAAACAAATGTAATAACAACAAAAATACTTTTATTTGACGACAAATATATTAATGAAATAATAAAAAAACACTTTAAGAAGATATGTACAAATAAAACATCAAAATGAAATAAAATAAAAAAAACAAATTTAAAAGAACATATTTACATAGAAAAGAAAAAATATCAACACTATAAACAACATATATACAAATTATTTTAAGTTAATTATTCACTTCCTTTTGTCCTGGTTAGAATAGGTTTGGTCGTACCTCTAGAACAACCCCTCCTTCTCCATTCCCCATTCGCCAGAAATGGTGGGTAAGGATTAATTCAATATAACAAAAAAAAAAAGTTGGAAAAAATTTGCAAATTTGAATGATGTCCAAAATGCCATCTCTATATGTTTTGCTCAAAATAAATAATTGATAAAATTGATTTCTATCGATCATAGATTGGAAATTTGGACACTAGATGGCAAAAGGTTTATTCATAATGTGGATGATTCCATCTATGATTAAAAATAGAAACTCATGTGAAATTTATGTGTTTGAATTTAATATTAGAAAACGACATTACTTTCCGGTCCTCCTAATATATCAAAATATTGGATCCACTATAAATATTAAGAAGATAAAAATATTTTTAAATTGAAATATTTATCTTTAAAAGAAATTCTTATTTTTATAAGAATTTGGTTTGTTCTAAGACTTTTTCACACCACTGTGTATCTTACTTTACTTATGTTTTATGTTTGATTCATAAAAATAATATATAAATGAATACAGTCTTTACATAGCAATATTTTGTTATAGGTTAGATACTTACTTCAAAATGGCGCTAGACCTTCCATAAACCAACCTGGAAATAGCGCTCTAGCGTGCGTTCTCAGACATGTCAGAGATTGGGAATTCAGGTATATTTTATCGTTGATAACAATTTTCTTATGTTTATTGAGATTAAAAATAAAATCAATTGAAATGATATAGAAAAGTAGCAGAGGTATCCTTTATGCAATGGTATATTGGTTTACTATTGCATGTTTTTTAAAATGTTACTATTCAGAAAAGTGATGAAACAAAATTTTGAACTTTGAAATAATTGCAGCACTTTTTTTTTTTTTTTTTTATTTCTTAATGATATTGAGCTTATGGATATAATGATGTGAAAACACTTACTGAGTAACTACCCAATGGTAGCACTCTAATGACATATCTAGATTAGGAGATCACGGGGACAAATTCTTTTCAGACGCCTCAGAGGGTTATCAGGAATTGAAGATGAAGCAAGGTTAGAAACGAGAGGGTTGGGATGATTCTGAAGTTTATTATGGAAGGATAGGTATCTAGATTGAGCTAAATCGGAAACATATGGTACATTAAGGTCGTTATAGATGCTTTTATTTGTGACAAAGTAGGGAGCATTAAGGATTTTATGAAGGATTTTGGATTGTAAGGATTGGATACGAGAGGAATTCGATGGTTTAGTGGAGCCCTATAGCTCAACTCCTTACGTCCAAGTAGGCCTTATTATAGTCATGTATATGAGTCTTCTGTAATTAATTGGAAGTTTAGAGCGTTTTTCTAGTAAGTGCTGAAGTAATCGGAAACGTCGGGCGGTTTCTTGTCGTTTTAGTCTGGTATGGGTTTTTTTTAGTTTTTATCATGTTCGCTGCCAACAATGAGTTATATCGCCGACACTAGCTACAAGTTAATTCGTAGAATGTTTTTATTTTATCTACGCCTTATACAGGCGTTGATGACTTCGAAGTTTTGCACCTTAAAGCCCCCAACTTAACAACAACAACCTATGCCACATACAATCTAACTCATAATATTTTCATGTTCTTCGAAGGTATCTGGTTTTGGGAATGGACATAGTGGGACTGTTTTTGAAAATGTCGCTTGGCAGTGAATGTATTAGTAGCGAATGTACAGGAATGTCATGAGATACAGAAGATTTGTAACTTAACTGGGAGGTTAAGTCTCACTAAGGGAGATAGTTCCTACTGACCACTGATTTATTGTGGTAAAATTCCCTGAAGCCACTTCCAGATTACTGTAGGCCAGTGGCTTTGAATAGCTAGAAACAAAAATGTAAGAGTAGATAAATATTCGGGACGCAGTCTTTTTTAAATTTTTTTATTTTTGCCAACGTTTCAACCCAAACATGTGGGTCATCTTCAGGGCTGAAAATGTATTTTAAAAATTACAATCAGATATATAATAGTATACGACCGCTAATTATAAATAATAAACTATAGTGATTGATGGCACATGAATCTTAACTAATATTGTAATACACATATTAAATTTAAATATTAAAATAGTTATACTAAAATTTAAAAATAAATATAATGTATATAATCCATTTATACGAATTTGTAATATTTTCTCTTACTAACCGTGGTTTGAGCACTGAGGGTGTTCAAGTACTGACTATTCCTAAAATATTGTATAATATATTGTCCTAAATATCATTTGCATACATTGAAATTGTCTTTATTATAAACATTATTCATCTAACCATTGTATACTTGCTATCAAACCAAGCTATATTTATATTGATTGGCACCTTTTGCTTATGTTCACTTCATTTTCTAGCCAATAGTCACATTTCTGTAACCATAAGAAATAACTCAAATATTGTACACTTCTAAAATATTTGTCAGCAAATTATGTATATTCTACAAACATAAATGTTACTCTCCCCCCCCCCTTCTCCTCTAACTATGTTTACCCTTTTGTTATATGAAAAAGGACAACTGGGAAATCTCCCCCTCCCCTGACCTTTTTACTTACCTACCAAACATGTGTCAGTACTTGAACACCCTCAGTGCTCAAACCACGGTTAGCAAAAGAAAATATTACAAATTTGTTTAAATGGATTATATACATTATATTTATTTTTTATTTTTTATTTTTAGTTTGTATAACTATTTTAATATTTAAATTCAATATGTGTATTACAATATTGGTTAAGATTCATGTGCCATCAATCACTATAGTTTATTATTTATAATTAGCGGTTGTATACTATTATATATCTGATTGTAATTTTTAAAATACATTTTCAGCCCTGAAGATGACCCACATGTTTGGGTTGAAACGTTGGCAAAAATAAAAAAATTTAAAAAAGACTGCGTCCCGAATATTTATCTACTCTTACATTTTTGTTTCTAGCTATTCAAAGCCACTGGCCTACAGTCATTTGGAAGTGGCTTCAGGGAATTTTACCACAATAAATCAGTGGTCAGTAGGAACTATCTCCCTTAGTGAGACTTAATCTCTCAGTTAAGTTACAAATCTTCTGTATCTCATGACATTCCTCTGAACACTATTTTGAGGTGCATAAGGATGTTCGAACAAAATAGAGGACATATCACACCTTATCAACAAAAATAATTATCTTCATTTTTGAAGAATTTAATAAAGAAAAATTTAAGAATACAACTGTTTTTCTCTACAGGTATTCCTTATTTATTTCCAGTTGCAAATCACGGATTATAGACTTTACTTGACAGTTAGAAAAAAAATTAAATTATTTGCACGTGAGAAAGTACGAAGTGTGCCAGTTTTTCTGCTTGTTAGTATCTTTATTGTTATGAGATTATGGTTATTGTTAAATAGATAATTGATTGGATCAGGTATGAGTTATTGAACATGCTGCTGCAAGAAGGAGGAAATCCGAATGTTGTTGGACGAGATGGAAGCGTTCCTCTAATGGTCTGCCTAGTGCCACTTATTAACAAAGATCCCCTTCACCATTTTACTCACACTATGAAGGTAAGTAATGTATTGTCGGCTATTATAATATTTCTGTATTGTTTTTCAAATCCTAAGAACTGAAAAAATTCTTCCTACATCCTAGATCTCCGTATTCTATGTTCCTTCATTCCAGGAGTTCCTAACCTTTTTTCAGCAGCGGGCACATTTATTGGTAAAATGGTATAAATAAAAAAAAAAAAAAATATATATATATATATATATATATATATATATATATATATATATATATATATAAATTGTTCATCATATAATCATTTCATTAATATGTATATTATTTTAATATTTTTTTTATGGATTATTCAATTTTTTAAAATTCTTCCTTTCATTGCAGGTATGCTATCTTAACTGCGTAAGGATTCTTTTAAAACACGGTGCGAATCCGAACTGTTCATCCAGGAGCAATTTAACACCGCTCCATGTCTTGATGTTTTCGGCGAGTGAAACGGTGACCCTCGGGCGTGATATGGAAAGAAAGATGGAATTTATTCGAAGCCTCCTTGTCCTCCTTCTTCAACATGGCCTTGAAACTAACATCCATTTCTCTTCCCGCCGTTCTCATATCCTCTTAGAACTTTTAGACATGGTGAGGGCTACTCGGGCTTCTTCTGATATCCAACACGTGTACAATCTCACTCTTACATTTTTACAGGTATATGTTTCAAAGATTTTAAATTAAAATTTCTTCTCCCCTGCTAGCTTTCCATCTATACTTCTTACACCTTTTAAATTGTTAAATAACTGTTTTATTTTCAGCGTTTCTTACTTTCCTCAGAAATGGTAATATTTATTATTATTTTAAATGCCACATTTCCGTTATAATTGAAACGTTACATAATGACCCACTAGGATAGATGCAGAATGTAATAAAATAAAAAACCTTACATGATACAGTTTTTAAATCTCATGGTGGAAAAGTCATTGCAGCTATTGTTCAAAATAAGTTTCAAGTAAAAATGACAAGCTGATAATTTTAAGTGCATATAAATTTGCTTCCGTTTTGTCTGTTGTTTTATAAAGATCATTTTCTCGTTATAGAAATATTTTAAATAACAGAAATTAGATTTTATAAAAACAAATTTAGAATGCTCATCTGATAATTAATTTTAATGCAAAATATGTTATTTACTAATATCTAATATATTTGCCTTTTATTTGTAACTACTTTTTAAACGCCATAATTTCTAATAATACTTTATTATTAATTGTTTCTCCTAATTTCATATATTATTTTTTCTTAAGTATCTCACATTATGTTCTTAAACATTAAAATAAATATTTTAATAAATGGCAAAAAATAAATGATAATATTTATTTTTGCCAAATATTTTAATACTTAATGTTTCTTATATGTTAATTTGTGTTTTAACTAGTTACTTATTCCTTTGCATTTTATTTACTAATGTTTACTTTTATTAATAACAGTGAGGATGTGCAGTAAAAAAATTATGTTCATTAAGTTTGCCAGCATTTCGACCCAAACATGTTAGTCATCGTCTGGGCTAATAATTAAAAAAATTAAAATTACAGAAGAAAAATGATAAATATGAAAGTATGTAATGTAAATAAGAGAAGAAAAAGATGGAATGCACAAATGGGATTACAGTAATATAAACATTACAACAATAAAAAAAAAAATTATGTTATTTTGTTAGTGTTATGTTTATATTACCATTATCCCATTTGTACATTCCACCTGTTTTACTTTTACATATATGAAATATGTAGTAATGGAAAGTATTGCGATTGTGAAAATTTTTTAAGATGAGTTTTCAACAGAAATACATGTTTTGAGGTCCCCTGAGTCGAAATAATCAAGTCTCGCAAAATGGTCTGTGTGTACATGTGTGTTAACAGTCTAGCTCAAAAATGAAAAGTCATATGAAAGTGAAATTGCATATTTAAGGTTTTTATGATATTACAGTAACTTTTTCGTCGAAATCGGCTAACGGAAAGTGGCACTTATTATCATTAACTAAACACATTTTTACGATTTTCTCCAAAACGGCCCTAATGATTTTGATTAAATTCATCATATCAGTGTAAAATTAAGCATTTAAAAATAAAATTTAGATTTTATCCTAATTGATGTTTTCTAACTGGGCTTAAATGGCTAATTTTCAATATTAGCTTCCTCTAATGTAACTTTAATTTTCTTTTATTTGAAATAATTGACCATTTCACATTGATCTCTAATATAACAGATAGTTCAATATAAAATATGAAAGAAATTGATAATTAACTAAAAGATAAATATGAGATCGTAACGGAGAATAGTTGTAATTGAGTATCCAAAGGAATACGAGCGCACCCGAGCTCGTTTGAAAGATTAGAACATGCTTCTATACTTAACATGATCTTAATATAATATGGACTCCGACAATATTATGTAAATATACATACACAGTTTTCATAAATGCTGTTGTTGGTATTATTTAATATTTAATTGTATAGATTACAGAGATATAAATATTATATATATATATAAGGCGATATAAAATTTGTATATATAAGGGTACTTATACAAATAAAAGTACCCACGATGAAATATAAATGAATACAGAGTTTATAATTTTTACTTTCACTTCCCCTTTGTTTGAAAATACTTATTTCTGCTAAGAAGAGGATGGTAAATGAAAGTTGTGTGATGCGGGCATCACACCCGGTTTTCTTCTCTTATTTACATATTTTTATATTTATCATTTTTCTTCTGTAATTTTGAGTCCTGATATGCTGACATATTAGGTCGAAACGTCAGCAAATTAAATAAACATAATTTCTTGACTTCACCTCCTGACCATTTTTCATTCTTACAATTTCAACAGTTCAAAGAATATATAGTTTATATCCATAGTTATTTTATTAATAATATTTAAGTTTTCAACCAATTATCCAGTTTAAATACAATTACCTTTTGCTATTTTTCTTTTGTAATTAATTGCACGTTTGTATTGTTTTGATATTTTAGTTATTTGTAAGGTGTGGATTTTTTCTTTTCCCATGATACAAGAAATGTCATCCACATACTTAAAGCATATTCTTGGATTAATTTTTAAATTCTTTAGTTTATCAGATAGTAATTGATTCATATTAATTAAGAGTATTGCTCCTATTTTCATTCCAAAAGATTGTTTGTATTTTTTTCTGTTGAATATATAATTTCATTCCTTACATATATACTTATTTTTTATTTCAGTATAGGGTTCTATGTTCCAATTTTCTTCTAATATTTGAATTACTTGTTTTATGGGTGCATAAATATAAAGAAAACGTAATGCTGATTGTTAAAATACTTTACTAATTATAGTTGTTAAAATTATATATTTATTCTTTCAGTACAGAGCCAATCCTGACATATGCTTCACAGCTCAGGATACAAGAGAAACATCATCTGTCGCATCTTCTATTTACCTCCGTTCAGCTGGCTCTCACCCTGTATTATATCATTACGTCATAATGGTTTCTCAAAAGGATGATTTGGCTCTCGATCCGCAGCAGAGGTTCGCTCCACTCATTCGGCTTTACGCTCTTAGCATGGGACATAAAGAGTTGTACTCAACACTCTCGGCATTATTGAGAGCTCAAGAAGCAGGGGTTATCCCTGTGCGGGCTACGGCTATCTGTTCCCTGCTTAAGGAGATGAGCTGTAGGCCGAGAACCCTTAAGCAAATAGCTCGTAATGTTATATATCGGGCCGTAGATCGCCAGCCCGGCCTTGTCGTCAATAAGCTACCGCTTCCTAACTCATTGAAAGAATATTTACTCAACTTTGAGCCGTAATATCGTCTGGCTAGTCGAATTTGTATAATTTAGCTGTATATATTTATTAAGTATATATATTTTGTATAATAAAGCCTAGTAGTTCCGATAATTTATCCTCGTGGTTACAAGGAATTATCTTGCATCAAAATGTTACTTCAATTGATTATATGATAGTTCTAAATTGTTTTGGCTTGATAATTATACAATATCAGTAATTTTGTGTGTAATTTATTCAAGAACTAATAATATAGTATCTTGTGATCAATTCTTCCTGAAGTCACTATTTAAAATTTAATTTAATTCTCATTATCTTACGAGTTGTGATCTGGCTATTATCAGATTAACTTTATAAAGTGATACACAGAATTTATTAATATACTCATTGAACAACAAATTAAATATAATCAAAATATTTCATTGTACTTACGAATAATTTAAATAAAATCGTGACGTGAGTCTGTAAAATTAATTCAGTTTTAGAGCAATATTAATTTATCATTTATTTATATTTTATTACAATGATGTTATTAAATGATAATTGTTGAATTCTAAATGGCTCCATTATTTTTTAATGTTAAAAATCCTTATTGGTCAGTTTTACTTTACATTTTTTTAAGATATAGGACTAAAATATTATTGATATTTCTATTATTTGAAAATTTTATTTTTAATCGTATACTATAATTCAATCGCTTTAAGTTAAGGTGGCCTGAAGGGAAAACATATATGACATTTTAGTTGAAACTTTTCTTTTTTCCTAATATTACTTAAAAAATATACATATATGGAAAGATTTATGATTTTTTAAATTTGTAATCTTCTAATTTATGTATATGTTAGTAAATATTTTGCTAGTAATATGCAGAGGAAGGGTTAGGGAAAAAAGAAAATGTTTGTTTCAACTTAATTTCTCATGAATTCGCCCTCTGGCTTCAAATTAATCGTGGTCCAGCTATAGTTTATTAGTTCATTCATTCGATTCTTATATTATTTTTATTTCTTAATGAAGTTTCAACACATATTAGTTTCATCTTCTTCACTTTTTAAAACATATGTTCATTTATATTTGTTATTTATAAGAATAAAAAAGTCAGATATTTTTATACTATATGTGTGAATATTGTGGATCCTCATAACACCAGTCAGAGGGAAATTAAACTAGCATTATTATAGAGATACTTTACTATGAAGATATACCATACAACGAAAAAGTAGTACTTAAGGAGAAATTGGACCCAAGATCATATTGGTCGCACTGTATTTAAGGGAATTTATGTAGGAGCAGAAAACAATTAATTTTAACTATAATTATTACACTTGAAGCTTAGAAGAATCACAACATAATTATAGACAAATTATTATTTTTTTTTATTTCTTAATGACATTTACAACTGTATCACATAAATACATCAAGTAAATTTGGACATAATAGATATAATGACATGAATACACTTGCTGAGTAACTACCCAATGGTACCACTCTAATGATATGACTACATTAGGAGATCACGGGACTATCTTCTTTTCAGACGCCTCGGAGGGTTATCAGGAATTGAAGAGGAAGCTAGGTTAGAAACGAGAGGGTTGGGATGGTTCTGAAGTTTATTATGGAAGGATAGGTATCTGGATTGGGCCAGATCTGAAACATAAGGACATTAGGTCTTTATGGATAATTTTATTAGTGACAAAGTAAGGAGCATTGAGGATTTTACGAAGGATTTTGGATTGTAAGGATTGGATGCGAGAGGAATTCGATGGTTTAGTGGAGCCCCATAGCTCGAACTCCGTAAGTCCAAATTGGCCATAGTCATAGTATATGAGTCTTTTGTGATTAATGGGAAGTTTAGAGCATTTGTCTAATAAGTGCTAAAGTAATCGGAAACATCGAGCGGTTTCTAGTCGTTTCAGTCTGATATGGTGGTTCCAAGTGAGTCGTTTGTCAAGGTGGAGTCCTAAGTATCAACAGGGATAAGAGGGCTATTGTTGAAGGATACTGTAGGACAGGAAGTCATAGGTTTATGGCGAAGAGTGAAGGTAATTTGATGGGATTTATTGGAATTTATTTTAATCCTCCAGTTTTGACACCATTTTTCAAGACTTGTGATGTGTGATTGAAGCATTTGGGATGCAATTGCTGGGTCATTGTTTGCTGATAGGATACATGTGTCATCGGCATATGTGGTGATGACTTGTCTTAGCCTAAAAATGTAGGAACAAGAAGTAGTGATGGGGCGATATAGACAGAGCTGTGGTTCTGTCACAGTGACTGGGCTGGAACTGGTGATCATAGTAACAGGTGCCCCGAAAGCACAGTGACAGTGTGAAATCACATCGCTCCAACAGTGACGGTCATTGTAGTCGCTGTCAAATCACAGAGCTGTTCACTGCACTTCATCACTCTTATTGCTCCAGCGATCTGTGCGCTGTTAAAATCATTTATTTAACAAATGAATTAAAGGAATAATCATGAAATAATTATTTCTAAAATAATGGTTATTCCTCAAATCTTATTATAAATATATACTTCTTGAACTTTGGATGACTTAGACATTCATTGAAATAAAGCTGAAAATTTCTTAAATAATTAACGCAAAGTTTTTCACACAATATTTTATTTATCACTTGATTATCATTTATTTTATAACTAAATTATTTTTCAAAAATGTAAAATAATAATTTCAGAAATAACTATTTTCCAAAATTTTATGAAGAATAGTTGACGCACCATTTTATGTCGCAAAAGACAGATTACATAAAGACTTGAACATCCCAACAATTTCAGACACTGCAAAAAAAACTACAACAACTTTCACCAAAGTCTAACTTACAACACAAATCCTCTGACAGAAAACCTTGAAAGCACAAGAAACCCGTACAGCCCACCTCGACGATTACGTAGGCGGTGGCCAAGAGACCTGCTGAACTGAACTATTTCCTGGATTGTAATGGAACCCTGTGAAGCTGCCAAAAAATTTGCTCATTGTAAAGAAATTTGCAGATCGCAAATTTAATTTTTTATGTCCAATTTTATGTTAATAAATAATAATAAAGAAATAACTATAGTTCTGAAATAAGTTCAAAATCCATGAATAGTGAACATATATAATTTATCTTTTAATTATTACCGCCAACAGCTCCTAGCACCAACTGGGCAAAAATCACAGTTGTGACAAATCACTGTGATTTATCACAGTGATTTTCTCGTAGCTGTCACTGTTTGAGCTGTGATAGAAAATCTCTGTCACACTCCATCACAAATAAGAACCACAAAAGTGTTACAGACAAATGTTTTGGTTTAAATCCCTTTCCAGGATTTCTCCACACAATTGATGTATTATTCAATCCATAGACATTATATTTTCTATCATTTAGGGAGCCATGAATGACGAGGGATACAAAAATAAAAAAATTTTGAAAACAGAATTATACATAGGTTCTATCCCCTTTCTAATTAATTCCTTTTCATCTTTGTTCAGACTTTCACAGACCACAAGTTGTCAAGTAGAAATTATTTCTAACCTCAGTTCAAGTTGCTGTTGTAAAATAAGCTAATAATTATTTGAGCTAATTAGGTCTAATATAAAACTGAACAGTTGGCTATTTTCTCATGTTTATATTTATACATGCTCAGTTATACTTATATCTAGCTATAACTCTTTTTTGTGGGTTGACTTTAGTGTATAATTGAAGATAACTGGCGGTTCCTTGAATCATAGTTTTAACTGAAACAAAGTTTATTTTTTAGGTTGATCAGTCTTTTCTGTGCATCCCAGTTATATATAGTATAATTTCTTTTTTAATGGTGCTGAACTTTTAAGAACGTTTTGTGAATTTTGATCTTATTTAATGATAATAAAAAACCTTTTATAAGTCATAGTTACAAGTGCATAAATTTCTGATTTTACAAGGGGTAAACAATTATCAAAATGGGTAATGATTTAAAGTTATGTAATTTCTCTTAATGACTGCAATAAGTCGACAATAGTTTTTATTATATGAATAAAACATGCTGTCAGATGTGGTTTCTTTCGTTATAAACTGTATGTAGTGTTGTAAAAGAGCTTGGTTAGATGGTTATAAGACTCGAGTCTTAAAAGCTCGGCGTTTGAGGTCCAAGTCATTCTTGATTTTTTTTTAAATTGCTTTAAAATGTATACAAAAGGGTAATATCCATCTACCCAAACATATTGCCATTTTATCTTTTTTAAAAAAATTCAGAGGGGAGTTAATCCCTCCCCCCCCCCAAAAAAAAGTTGAACAAAGTATCACCCACCCAATGTAACTACAACATATTCCCAAAAGGGTCACCGAAAATTTGCAGGCACCCAGAGCTTCTCAGGACCTGTATATATGGTTAATAATATTGCTCAATATAGACCCTTACACGTGCCATTATATTGACAATGTTTCATTAATATTGAAGGAGCTTCAATAAAAATAAAAATAAATTGATATCAACTAGTTTTATTGACGTCAATATAATTAATGCCAATGTAGACCTCACACGGTCAATATATTGACGAAACTCTATATTGACCGTATAAGGCTTAAGCCGTAAAGGCTCCAACTATCTGGACTCGGCCAAGGCTTGATTCTTAAGAGCTCGGTAGTAAAAGGCTCGAATTACGGATGAAACCTTACTTATTTTTTCCTTTCTATCTATTTACACTATATTTCTACACTTTATATTATATTATTACAATATATATGTGTAACTTGGCACGAAAATCCCCTTGTCCATTGAAGAATTGAGAGACCCAATAGTCTGGTTTGATCCATTTGGCTGCTAATTGAGACTGTACGGTTTGAAAATACTCCCTTAGTGGTAGTGATCCACCGCTTGTTCCACTCTTCGACGCTTCTCTCAATATTGATTTTCATCTATTGGGCCGTACCTCAACCCTCCCTCGAAGGTCCTACGGAATCCCTGCCAAGCCTTCTCTCCTATAGGCATATTTGATCAAGTCTTCTTGCAGGAGATCGGGAGGTATCTCCTCTGCTAAGATCTGCACTGCCGCGTGGGACAGTCTCATTATAAGCTCTGGTGACACGCTGCAGAGCCATCCTCTGGATAGATGCTAACTTGTTCTTCTTTCGCTTGAGGTTCAGGTACCATGAGGGGGATGCATACCTTAATATACCTAGCACCACTCCTTTGTAGATAGCCTTGGTATCTAAGGCCCCAAAAATACAGACCATTTAAGGCGACCGTCACTTTGTTTGCCAAGTAGTACAAGTGAGGCGTTGTATTAAACTTTCTTCCAAATCTTACACGGAGGTATATCACCACTTTACTTGGACTAATCATTTCTCCTCGTATCTCCAAGGCGACTGGATGTTCCCTCTCAGTCCTGCCCCATAATAATATTACTTGGGTTAGTTTTTGAGTTAATAGCAAATAAAATTCTGAATTCTTTACCTATGTTCAGCCTCTTTTTGGGGAAGTATGTTAAATATGTAAATTAAAAATGCTTAAAGGAGAATTTAGCCAAGTTTCAATTAAAATCGTTCGAGCTGTTTTCAAAAATTTTTTAGCTGCCATTCTGAAAGCAAAGGCAGTATCAAGTACTCAAACGTTGGCTAAAATAAAAAAGACTGCGTCCTGAATATTTATTACCTATGATATGTAGAACAGTCGACTAACTTTCTTCAAGTATATACTTTTTCCAAAAAAAATTTAGGTACTTCTTGTCTAGGGGGCCGCTCCTGACTGCTATCTGCCAATGTTTATAACCTCAACACTGATAACTCCCATAATGCAGTGATAAGCCTTCTCCTACTTCATATCTTCGTATTATTGTATTAAATTAGTATTATTGAAAGTGTTAACAGATACAAAATCAAATGCAATAACAAAAAAAAAAATACTTTTATTTGATGACACATATATTAATGAAATAATAAAAAACACTTTAAGAAGATATGTACATATAAAACATCAAAATGAAACAATAAAAAAACACATTTACATAGAAAAGAAAAAATATCAACACTATAAACAATATATGTACAAATTATTTTCACTTAATTATTCACTTCCTTTTGTCTTATTTATTTTGGAAGGGAAAATTGTTTTGTTATTTAAAATAGCGAGGAACGGGTCCTCTAATCTGTGAGCCCGTCACAAAAATTCGCACAAATATGAATCAAGGTGTTATCTGGTAGTTCCTCTATGTACTTTATTTCTCCACTTCGCTGAGCCCCATAATCGTTCTATGTGTTGAGTATGAACTCCAGTTGATGGATCGACAAAATTATACTGGTGATTCACTTGGAAATGGTCATAGTTTGCTTCGTTCAGTTGTCGGGTGTTGTATCCTTTCCAACAGTCCGAATAAATGGTCGTTCCCTCTTCTATATTTTCTTTAATTGCTTGTAATAAGGATGTTGCCTTTCTGTCAATTATTTTGACGATAAAACATTCATTTGTTTCTCGGCAAACTCCACCAAACATCCACTGCTGAGATAAAACTCTCCTCACATGATTTTTTCGTTTAGAAAAAAGATTTTCGTCTACTTCAACCACTTTGCCAGGTTCTAAGAAGATCCATAATATGACGAAAATAAAAAATAAACTCCAAGGGGCCATAAACTAAAAAAAAAATGTAAAATAAACACAAACGGACCAAAAGTAAAGAATTTAATAAGTGAACATAATAAGGGAATAACTGAAAACTAAACAATGCAATAACTCAAAAGTTTGGCGTGATAAGAAGAGGGAGGTTATGTGGTGGGACATTAGATAAAAAGTGAGGTTTCAAAACGGCCCCCTAGACAAGAAGTACCAAAATTTTTTTACAACACTGATGCTTATCACATTATAGTTATCATAACTTATACAGTGTGCACTGAGCTTCCAATATTTGAATCCCGACTGATGGCTGTTAAATCATTTATAATTTCATTGTTGATGGATCATACCTGGGGTCGGGAGACCCTACAGGAACACACCGAGCCTCTATTTAGTGGGTACCTAATTAATTATGGGAAAAAACCTGGTGGTTGAGCGTAATCTCAATCAAATCACCTCCTTGCACAACGGTTGACCGAGAAACAGTCCTTTCTCCAAATAGTACTTAACCCAAGACCTTTCAATGCTTGCAGTGGTACAGCTTGACATGAAGCTATTAAAAAAAATTAAAGAAGAAAATCATTTAAGGAATAGAGGAAGAAAAGATACTTAAATAAAGTGTTTTGCATTTGCCTTTATATTTGTTGTGTTTCTTTTCATTAGAGCCTTATTCAAAATAGCTTATTATTTTTTAATATCTACAATAGTAGAAAAAAATAAAATTGGCTTAAGATGAGTTAGATAATGGTTTTAGAAAAAATAAATTAAACATAGTACATTTTAATCAACTTAATTTATTGAACTTAAATAAAAACTAACGAATTTGAATTACCTCTCTATAGCAGTGAATGTGTTTCTTAAATACAATAATAATAATGAATGCATGGAAATAACAAAGACTTACATATATTAAACTTTATATTTCCAACCCTTCAAAATTTCACAAACTGAAAATGACGCCTTGATGCATTAACAAAACTATAATCAGTTGTTACATTTACAAATTCTTGTGATACGATTACATTAGCACAGAACCAATCCTGAGCATTATATAAATACACACTTATATATGTAATTCTTTAATCACTATTTATGCACATGTAAAATAAGAACAATCTACATATATCTTCCTATATATATATATGTATGAGAACATTGGTTATGGTTAACTTCATATACAATAAACAATGTAAAATGATAATACATTTTAATCAATCAATTGTTGAGCATTTTTATGGATAAATAGTGTAGTTTTACAGTAACGACAAAGAAAAAACAGAAAACTAAATGTATTCTAACATAATTAAATGGTATGTTTAAATTAAAAAAAAGAAAAAAAAAAAAAAAAAAAGGGAAGAAAGAAAGTTGTCACTTATATCACAATAACAAACTTATACTTAAACTACAAGGAGAGGTACTATTGTATGCATCGTTCAAGAGTAATAAATAAGCACAATAATGAATCAAATATTGTGTATATTTAAGTTTTGTAATTAAAATAACAAAATGAGAACATTCAAAAAATGACTCCATTATACCTTATAATAAATATAACCTATATTAAAAGTAAGATGAACAATGTATGTTAGATTTAGATTAAATGATACATATATTTATTTTTTTTTCGAGTTGATAATCAAAATACTACTAAAAATTATTTTTTAAAAAAATCCATAATTTTTTGTTCAGAAGGTTTAGTGTTAGATGTGTGTGTCAAATTATACGATACATGGAATTAATAATGTATAAAACAATGGAACATAAATCGGTTGTTGAAAAACATCATTTGGTATGATGACGTAGAAATTAAAAAAAAAAGAAAAAAAAAAAAAGAAAAGAAACATTTTGATGACATAAGTTACTCCATTACATAATATGTGAAAGAAATTATAGCTAAAGAAATGAACTAATCCTATTTACAGAGAACACACTCAACCCCTGACCTTCTGTCAGTATTTAAAACAATCAAACTACAGTCAAATACAAAAATTACATTCTAATTTATTATGTAATAATAGTTTTAATAATGGTGAAAGATTAGGCACAGCATTTCTGTCAAAACGTTATGAACTATATATATATGGAGCATCCATCAAGTATACACTGTTCAACTGTTAATTTGGACACTCTAAAACCAGGGAAATGCTTATTCTCAAGCTTGTTTGCTGCACATATGTCATTTAAGAGAGGTCTGAAAAAAATAAAATAAATAAATAAATCATCAAATATAAAATAAAAACCAGACATTATTTGGAAATATATAACGCAAAGGAAGTGCTGAATGAAAAAACCTAGTGCTTGTAAACCTCTAAAATATGTTATAATCAAGAAAATTATTTCAGAATGTGTAAAATATGGCCACATGCACACTTGATTTTAACGCAGTCTGTGGTCTTGTGAAGTGGTACAGATTTCCTAAATGCATGGAGAAGGTTATAAGATGTTCAGTTGTTTATACAATACCAGTCTACCATGACAAGACGGAAGTCTATACAATACCACAAAGAATAGGACAGAAATTGAGGATTGAAATTGTTGTTTTAGTGAAGACAGTATGGTCTTTAATTTCATTTACCATAAAATTAAATTGGTATTTATCAATCCTCATCATCCATTTCGGGCACCAATGAGAAGACTTTTTCACCGATCCAAGAAAAAAATGTATACTATATCTTATCGTACACTGCTTCAATCAGCTTAAGTTGACGTTGAGATAATAGGGAGTGTGGATCTGATGCATTGTCCATTTATAATAATAATGTTTCATTAAAAAGGCTTATTTAGCCGTTATACTTTACAACATTGGATATCACGAGAAAAACGGAGATATAATAATTACTTCCTAGTGCCTGAAAATCATTTTGGCAAAAGTCTGTTATTACGAAAATGATGAATTTGTTAAGAAAAATGGAAAAAGAACTAACAAATACACACAACCGTTAAAGATTTTTTATTTTCTAAAAGTAAATTGTAAAGTTTCCACTTCTTCTTTTATTTTTAATTTATTGTCCACTTGTCTATTTAAAAAATAAATAAATTGTTTAAATTAAAAATATAAACAAGGGATATGAAAAACTATTTTTTTTTTTTTTATGTATGTTTCTAATTGATAACACCAAAATTCTGTGGGGAAACAGAGGAGACCGAACTGTTTTGTCTTTGCCTATTTATATAATATATATTTATGTAAAAATACACTCACAGCTAGGTACTGCAGATAACTCAAAGCGTCTATGAAGTTGGTCATTAGAAAATTTAACAAAAGCATCATATTGCTCTGAAAGCTTCATATTTAAAATGCGGTCATATTCTTCTCTTATTTGAGTTTCACGTTCAGACAGCATACGTTCACAAATCATACCAACCTATAAAAACCCAAACAATTTTCTCATTGTATAATAACTTTTTAATATGATTTGCATAAGGTATATCTGTCAATATAAAATAACCTGTCTGAAAGTGAAGAGTGGCTTATCGCGTGTACTTGAAGAATATATTGTACCAAATGTGTTGGAGCAAGGCGATGAAGAAGAATCCGATGAAGAATCGCCTTGAACTTCCTGATTAGGATTGAAGTGAAGTTGACGTCTGCGATACAAACGCCTTATTTCCTCTCTGATACAAGCAGCCATCATTTCTGTAAATAAATTTTAATTAAAAAAAAAAATAAAGACATTTCAGAGAGTAATAATGTAATCCAGAATGAATTTAATAAGTAAAAACTTTTACACAACAATTAAAAGTAATGATATGTATTAATATTATTAACTTAACATAAGAATGAATAATAAACAAGAAAACGTTGAAGCGTTAAGAAGAGTGATCAACTATTGGACAAAGCTTTAATAGGCTGAAGGTTATAGTCTCATCCAGTGGAAAACCTGATCCACTTTATACCTGGATTACCCAAGTAAAGATGATTGTGGCGGAATTGGGATGTTAAAGGCTGTTTTTATGAATGAATGAAAATAATTGTCCCTTTAGAACAAGTTACAAATACAGAAAATATATTAATATTTTGGTGTTTCCATAAAATACAGTTTAATAGGTACTTTTCGTCTAAGGGGCCGCCTACTGACTGCTATCTGCCAATGTTTATAACCTGAACACTGATAACTCCCATAAAGCACTGATAAGCCTTCTTTTACTTCATATCTTCGTATTATTGTATTAAATTCGTATTATTGAAAGTGTAAACAGATACAAAACAAATGTAATAACAAAAAAAATACTTTTATTTGACGACACATATATTAATGAAATAATAAAAAGAACACTTTAAGAAGATATGTACATATAAAACATCAAAATGAAATAATAAAAAACACATTTAAAAGAACATATTTACATAGAAAAGAAAAAATATAAAACAAAATCTGTTTTATAAAAAGATAAAACATTCATCTGTTTATCGGTAAACTCCACCAAACATCCACTGCTGAGGTAAAATTCTCCCCACATGATTTTTTCGTTTAGAAATAAGACTTTCTTTTACTTCAACCACTTTGCCAGGTTCTTGGCCTGTATAACATGTCATGGGCACAAACCTCTCTTAGACATTTGTTCCACATTACCATAGCTCCGTAGGATAGTTTCAGCAGCTCTTTGCCCCACTTCATCGTTGTCAAGCTATGGGACCACCCAGAAATCAATTTTAAAGCTGTTGAAAACGAAATCCTCGAGCCCTCCAACCATGTTCCTTTCCTTATTGAAAGTTTGGTTTCATAAGTCCTACGAAAGCATCTCCATTTGGCCTTCCTGGTTGACTTCATTCGATGACTTCGATCACACAATTTCACGTCGGCAAGTACCCCAAAATTTTAAAAATATTGAAGCGCCTGTTCTTCTGAAGGCGGCAAATTCCATATTCTAAGAAGATCCATAATATAATGAAAAGAAACACAAAGGGACCACAAACTAAAAAAAATGTAAAATAAACACTAACGGGCCAAAAACTAAGAATAATGAAAAATAAACACAAACGGGCCAAAAGTAAAGAATTTAATAAGTGAACGTAATAAGGGAATAACTGAAAACTAAACAATGCAATAACTCAAAGGTTTGGCGGGATAAGAAGAGGGAGGTTATGTAATGTGACGTTAGATAAGATAGATAAGAAGTGAGGTTTCAGTCCGGCCTGCTAGACAAAAAGTACCCAATAAAGTTATAAGTAATAAAAAGATATAAATACGTGTAAATATAAAATATACATAGAAAGTAATTAAGTAAACGAAATATTGATGAATCACAGAGTATCTGGGAGTACTTTGAGGTTTTTACAGCTTTGGTTATTAAGTGCATTTCGTGATCAATCGGATTGGGAATGGAGTAGGGGTTTGAAGAGGAGAGATTTGAAAGAGGATATTGATTTTGCATGTCAAATATCTGAAGGTATAGAGTTCCAGAGGGAGACAACTTATATTAAAAAGGATTTATCAAACGCAGCAGTTCGGTGAGGAGGAGGATAGAAGTCGGATCCACGTGATTGAATTGTAGGATCTGTAAAATATATGCAGGTCACCGAGTTCTAATGGCTTGGTATAGGAAGGTAGCAAGGAAATACTGATGGCGGTAGGATGGATAGAGCCACTTCAACTTGGTGTAGAACTGGGTAATATGCGTATCCCTTGAAATCCCAAAGATAAAGCGTATTGAGCAATTTATTAGTTTTAGCTTTTTAAGTTTAGCTTCGAGTTCTCCCGAGAGTCCACCGTACACCATGCAGCCTGTGTTTTCTCCTGAGGTCTGATGAGGTTCAAAGATGAAATCATTAAAAAGAGAAACCATTATGCATACAAGGATAACGGCAGTGTTAAACTCTAAATTAAACCCAAGATACAGAAAAATCTGCTCCTTAAATACCACCATACCAGATGACTATCTGCAGTTTAAGGCTCTAAATATGAACAAATTAAGAGCCGTTAGTCATCTCAGAGTAGTAAGTGAAGATTTTGTAAAGATATATTTAAAAGATGATACTTTCACTATTAAATCTAGTGACGTATGCGGTTCGTGCAACTGCTTTGTAACTGACCCGAAGACTCATTTTTTTATTAAATGCATCAAATTTAACGAACCAAGAAATAGGTACTTGAAAACATTTATTACTGAATCCAGGGAAGACATTAATGTAAAAGATGATATATCCGAATGTAGTTACTATGAAAAAATTAAATCAACTATATTATTTTATACAAGGCTGTTCATTGAATTTTCAAGTGGTACAGTTAATAATACAAACAGATATTAATGTTTACTTATCTGAAATGTATAGATCCGTCGAAAACCGCATGTCGGAAATTTGACCCGATTGTAATACTTTCCTTACCTAATATAGGTAGGAAAGCAAAAATTGTTTTACAAATTATATATACATATATTGTTTACTAATCAATAATTAGTCATATTTAATGCTGTGGACATTGTTAATATTACCTTTATATTAATTTGTACAGGAATTTCTTCAGACAAATAAAACAAACTATTCTATTCTAATAGACAAGGAAAAATAAACTACGGTATTCAAGGGAATATAGTGGGTGATAGATAAATAATCAGGACCTAGTCAGTTTTTTTTAATAGGATTTTTATTTGCCGATATGATGGCTGATAAACTCACCAAGAAAGGCTAAATAAACATTGAACCAGCCAGAAAATTTAATATTGTTTCATAGAGCCGGAAAGGAAATAAGTAAGGATCACAGAGCCTTACTACTACTAGAACACGTAAAGAGCAATATAGAGGAGAAAATTGCTTAATGAAGCAGACCCATAAGACACCCATAAACTTGACGAGAAAGAAAGCTGTGGCCCAGATTCGGATGGTAACAAATCACGATTACGTTAAGAAACATCTACATAGCACAGGAGTGGCACTCACCACATTGCAACTTATTTAATTCGGGAGTACATATGAACGCAGTGCATTTAATATTTAAGTGTATGCTCACGCTCATTGAACATAAAGAGATACCATGTCGTCCAAATTGGAATGGTACTGGGTTGTAAGGTCTCTGATGGCAGAAGCCCACAAAAAGAGGCGTATTATAAGATTTGTCGACGTTTCAACCCAAGCATGTAGGTCATCATGGAATGTTACCAGCACTGAACGTAATCAAGTACCCTATCTGCATCCTCGTTGTCTATCATCCATGAATTTTTCATTTTAAATTCTTTATAACCTGTTTTTTTTTTCTTTTTTAATGTGAATCTGACTTTTAAATACAAATTTTTAATTGTGAAAAAAATATTCAAATCAACAAAAGATAAATTATATTTAAAAAAAAGTTATCAAAAGTTACAGTTATATCTCATCTGGGACATAAACCGGGCTCAAATTTTTATGATTTTATTATAAATTATCTGCACTTTAATTTTCCTATTTAAATCTTGATTGCCTTATAATGAAAAATTTATCTTCTAAAACTCTTTAAAAAAATAAAACTCGATAGGAAGTGAGTATAAAACCTTAAATCTAAATTGGATAGCTGTCTGAGTTATTTTTTGGTTCCATTTGTCATCCCTATAAACATGGAAAATTTTATGTTGATAACTAAAAATACTTTATGTTATATTAACTTTTCATAAATTTATAAAAAACAAAACAAAATTATTATATAAATTTTTACGTTATTCACCAGATATGTGCACTTCCTGAATGATCTAACGGTTACGTCCAATAGTCCAGTGCATTACGAACTGAGTATACTATGTATAGTGTACTAGAAACGGCAATGTGTATCTGAACTCAATGTAACATAATGTCCTTGAACTAGTTCAATTTATTCCTTATAAGAGTTCTCCCACTTCTAATGAATATACTTCAAATAAGTAAATAGTATACAACAGTTGTGCAGGGAGGTGATTGGACCAGAATCACGCTTTATTGCCAGGTTTTCTCTCTTAATTAATTATTTAATTAAAAGTACTAAACTTTATAGAGGCTGGGTGCTCCAGAAGGATCTCTCGCCCCAGGGCTGATGAAAAATTACCCGTCATCAGCTGGATTCAAACCCTCGACCTTGAGCTCAGGAAGTCAGTAGCTTATGCACTGAGCTACGCCCTCTCTTATAAACCGTAAAAAGTTTTATCAAGAATAAAACTTCTATAATATAACTTAATGTGAAATAATATTTTTATATCATTGATGTATTGATAATGTTGAACATTAAATAAAGTAGCAAAATTATTGCAAAGCACATATATAACACCACCATTGATATTTGTTTCATGCAAATTAACTAATTTAATTAAATAGTTTCAAATCATCAGTCACTAGGAAACAGAACTATTAATCATCCAAATTAAAAATATATTATTGAAATAAGGATTTAATCAACAATTAGAAACTTTAATAAATATGTATTGACTAATTATTTTATTTAATAACTTCTTTTAAAGCTACCAACTTAATACTTTAATAATAATATTATTTTATTAATTGGGCGCTGATGATAGATATGTTTTGAACTTACAATATCAAAACATCCAACCAATAATCAGAAACAAAACAACAGAAAAAATGTTAAAATTTAATACAAAAGAAAACTTAGGAGTTTAGCGATAATAAATTATCTCCATTGGAAGAGCATAAAAAAAAATATATATATTAACTTATTGAAAAAGTGATTTAGTTAGATGTTCTTCCCTAGGGCGAGCTTAAAGCAGCAAGTCTTCATGGCAAATATTTTATTTAGTTTTGATAACTGCAGTTATTTCATTTTATTTTGTCACTATTGGATTTTTATTATCATAAATTATATATTTTATAATTAATGTAACTCTATAAACACAGAATAGGGTTTAAAACCAGCTGACTGAAGAGTGGGGAGAATTTGCAGGTCGCATTTTAAGGCATTCTTACACAACTTTAAATTTCAGCTTATTTTTGAAGTTGCGATTTTTTTTTTTTTTTTTTTTTTTATGTAATCAATTCACTTCTCTAATCTAACATTTAATTGAACAGAAATTGCATTCAAGATATTATTTTAGTCAATTTTTCTAATTTTCAACCAAAGAGACAAACCTGTCTACCTGATACACGAAACTATCTCCAATAAAATAACTTTGTTGAAAAAAACATTGATATAATTGTTATCAATATATATATATTGAGTGTGTAGAGAGAAGAATCATTATTTGATAGAAAAAAACAAAAAACTTTTAGTTCTGTAATCAACTGAATGCAATAAAAATGTAACAAATTTGAAAAATGATAAGATCTTATTTATTAAGTTGAAAATAAACATGAGCTTATCTTGATTCTATTTTTAAATTAGAATAACTGTTATAAAAAAGATTAAAATAATCAGCCACTATTTGTTTACTTAAGTACTATACAATATATAGCCAGAATTAAATATTAAATGGAATAAATAAAATTCATTTTTTTAAAGTTTTGAAGAAAAAAAATGTATTGCATTTTCTCTCCATAAAATATGTGACAGTGGAGTCATTAAAAAATGTAATAATTTTACCATGACGAAAGTATAAATCAAAATAAATTATTAAGTGAGTTTAGTTGAACTCAATTTTCCTAGATTCGATCTGAATATTGGTCAAACCCACATTTTAAAGAAAATATATATAAAAAAACTATATAGTTTGACTACAGCTGTGTGGTGTATGATTGCCTCTCGGTGGAGCTCCGTAATAGACTGAAAAGATTAATGAATAGCTGCGTAAGATTTGTTATTGGTGCCCCGAGGTACTCCCATGTCTCTCACCACTACACTGAGTTAAGGTGGCTCTTCGCCTCCTTCCGAAGACAATATTTTCTAGGTACGTTCCTCTACCAAATCATCAACAACCTTCTCCAGTTTAAATCCTCAGTCCATTCCCTGTCCACAAGATCTCGACCTTCTGACCTTTACATGCCTTCTCACAGATTTGCCTCATTCCAAAATTCCTTTATTGTTCGCTCTGTCAATTTCTGGAATTCCCCCTCCATATCCACATTCAAATCCCTCCTATTCCAATTCCTATCACAAAAACAGTCAGATACTTGCTAACCATTCGAGCAGATTTTAATAGAGAATTTGATACATTTTTATTTTTTAATTCTTTATTTTTTTCGGAAAAGTATATACTGGTCTATAAGAGCAAATAGCTTTAAGTGTCTTGTCATAGTGTTAATGGTTTTGTATATAGTTTAATTTGTTTTGTATATAGAATTTTTACATTATTTCTCTTTTTCGATTGATTTTATTTTGGCCAGATGTAATATTTTAATTTTGTTATTCTCAAGGGACTGTGTCCCAGAATAAAGTTATTTTTCTATCTATCTATATAAACCAGTTAATAAATTATTTATACAAATGCATGCAACTATATAATTAAGTAATAAAGCGCATGTACTCAGAAATCTTTCATATTTATACAAAACAATGCTAATAGAATAATTATACATTATACAATCTACTCAGAAATCTTTCATATTTATACAAAACAATGCTAATAGGATAATTATACGGAAAAAGAATACTTTCACATCGGTCACCTGTTTCCAAAACCTGCCAAAATCAATTTTGAGACAAGCATAATTGTTTAAAATGAATCAGCCTTTAAATCTGATGGATGAAGTAATGCTTTGCTATAACCCCAAAAGATGACTGGTATTCTTTAGAGAAATAACCATCTTTCCGAAAACAACCAACCTACAGGGAGTTTGTTTTGTTCCAAAACTCTCTAAGGCATTATAAGGGATATCTAATACCTATAATTTACATCTAAAGCGGCTATTTTTAGTTCCATAAACAATTTTTGAGATTAAAGTTATTGTCTAATGTGATATTGAAATTATAAGAATGATAAATGAAGTATAATTGCTGTCTAAATAGACTTGCCAACATTTAGACCTAAGTATGTGGACCAGGGAAATAAATTTAAAAATAATGACTACAATTATATAATTAATTAATTAAAAATAATAATTATTAACCCTGATGATGCAAGCATAATAAAACATATCTTGACTAGTCTAGATATGTTCTTCTCATTAACAGTTATTAATTTTGGTTTAAAATGTTTTTCAATAATAACCTATAATTTGCTGAAGAATATTTTAAGTAATTTATATTTTTTTCTTACTGATTAACTTCAAGTTAGTTAAACTGTAAAATGGAACAATTATTAGTTTTTTAACATTTAAGTGATAAACTATGAATATTTCATAAATTTAAAATTTTACTATAAACAGATTAACAACTTATTTTACATATATGTAAAGTTTGATTTTATTTATCTATTATCTGATAACTTTGTCTTTTATTTCTTTCATGAATCCTCTTTATTTAAAGAATTATGCTACAATAGTCACATAAATAGAATTGGTCAACTTTTTACAGTGAAATAACTTTGAAAATAATAATGAATAATTTATTTTATACTTGTCTTTTACAAAACAATTTCAGTCTGAACTGATAAATTGTTATCTATCCTATATAATTAAGTTTAATTATCTTGGGAGTTTTTTAAAAATAAACAATCCATATACTGTCATATGTTAAAGTAAACCCTTTTACATTTCTAATAAAGAATTTTGATTTTCTTTAATCCATGTTTGTAAGAACTGAAAATGTAACCTACTTTGAAACAAAATGAGAATGCAACATTCGAAGACAAAATTAGTTTTAATAAATTAGTTTTAGATGCATACAATTAAAACTAAATGGTTTATGTACTCATAAAAAAAAAATAATAATAAATAAAGGTTAAAATAGATCTTTTTTAACTATTCCTTCTTATGTAAAAAAATGACTTCAAAGGTTATTATGACTAAATATCAAAATGAGGTAAATATGATAATATCAATGATTAGAAAATAAATATGTAAAAACAGATAATAAATATAACAGTATTCAATGGCCAAAAACCTCTATAAAAAAAATGAAAGAAAAAAAAATAACGGCCTTTGAATAAACACTTATCCCTGGGATACTTAAAATTCCAAAACCATGCATTTTTTATAGAAATGAAATGTAGACATTTTGTAAGAAAATAAGTCTTAAAGTATAACAAATCCTTAAAATAAGATAATACAAAGAAATAGTGTTGCAATATTCATGATTAGTAATTATACCTGGTGTCATCTTGGGGCATAATTCGCTGAATGGCGATGGACTTCCATCATTTCTAGATGCAGGCGGAGAACTAGAAGGCGAAATACTCATAGGAATACATCTTTGCCTTTTAGGGGGCCTACCATGCATGTGCACCGGATCAAAATCCAAAGATCTTTTAAGTGTAGCACAAGCCATTATCCTCGCTCAGTCGGGCTTCAAACAAACTGAACCCACTAACTATGCTCTATAAATCAGTAAAAAAACCTCTTCGAGTACAACGGCTAAAGTTTGAACAATTTAATTTTCACCAATGAGTGAACAGAATTGAGTCAGATGTTGAAGAACAACAATTAAACACAAGATTGAAAATTGACAATCAATATGGCTGGCGTTGCCAAGAGCTTTACTTCACAGCCCCAGCCCGAAATCCAGTTCCCTTCAGTTTCCAAATGTACCGTAATTACTGCCACCATGATAAGCACGTCATTTTCGAAATACTCGAAATACAAAGACTATCTTATGATTTAAATTATTAAAATTAATTTTTAAAATAGTTGTTTTTATTTTAAACATTTCAAACGATAAAAATTCTTGATATTGAAGATTTATCAAAACCAACACATAGCTCTTTGTAACGGTACTTTGTCATTATCGTAGCCGTCATCCTTTCGGCATTCTAAAATTTGATAAATAATTTTTGACGTCGCAAGAATGAAGATGTTCATTTGAAATATGTTTACCGTATATAATTAATTTCGGCAATAATTTCTAAAAAAAAAAATAACAGTTTAGTTATGTTGAAAATATCAAGCTGATATTTTAAAATACTATTAGTTCTTTAATTATCAATTAATTTGTAATGGGTGGTCAAAAGTTTCAGTACGATGAAAGTGGTGGAACATTTTTCTATTTTTTGTTGTCATTTTTAGCTTTATTATTAATACCAAGCACTTATTATTGGTGGCCACGTAAACAAGTGGAAGGTAAGGTTACTTAAACGTTTCATCTTAATTTATTGTAAATTATCTTAAATATTAAGTATTTTCATAAGTATAGCATGTTTGTTTTTCATTTCTTATATGTGCTTTGTTTTCATTATCTCCTCTATATTGGTTATTTGTCTTATCATGTTGATTAAATTTTTACTTTTGAATTGGTTCCCTAATTTATAATTAGTTTTTGTTTAACGTAAAGTGTTCTATAATTTTATTTTATCTTCTGATAAGGGGAGGGGTACTGGAGGTATCGAAGATAGGGTTTTGACTTCTTCAGATGAATAAACCTGGTCGAAATCAAGGCTTGACACACTAAATTTCTCAAATTAGTAAAAATTAGACTTTGTTTGCATTTGAACTAGTTTACCATATGGTTCCTCAATTCTCTATAATTAGTACTAGGGGGTTCATCATGGTAGAATCATGTGCTTAGCGCACAATGTTGACCACTCTATCTCTTTAATTATAATGATAGATTGAGTATCAGGCATCTTTATCAGTGCCTGTTGCTTTATAGAGTATTATTGTGTGTATTTTTATATTTGTTTAATTACGTAGATCCGCAGAAAGATGAAAAGGACTGTCATTGCGAAGGATGTTCGAAGAAGAAGGTAATCCTCAAAACAAATGAACCATGGAAGGGAACGAAGCAGTTATTTAAGTAAGTTTTTCGAATTGAATTAAATATTTAACCGAACTATTCAAATAAATATATCCATTTTAATTATATTTTTCTATTATAGGAAGTTATTAATTATCACTGGATGGTTACTTCTTGCTCTTCTTGCTTACAAAGTTTCACAGTTTGACTATGAGTATGCTAATTTCGATCCATATGAAATTTTAGGGATACCTTTAGTAAGTATTCAGGAACTTAATGATTTGTATTTTAATAAAAATTTATCTGGCATGTGATATGTATAATTTTTCTTAAAGGGTTCGTCGAAATCTGAAGTGAAGAGAGCATACAAACAGTTATCTCTTGTTCTACATCCTGATAAAAAGACTGGTGATGAGAAAGCGTTCATGAAACTGACGAAAGCTTATCTTGCCTTGACTGACGATGAAGCAAGAAAAAATTGGGAAAAATATGGCAATCCTGATGGACCTGGTGCCATGAGCTTTGGTATTGCGTTACCGTCATGGATTGTAGAAAAAGAAAACTCAGTTTGGGTGAGTTAGATTTTTATTTATTTTTTTCATTTATATATAATGGAGAGAAATTGGTTGGGGTGTGCAGTCCATAAATAACAAAGAAAAAAAAATTATATTTATTTATTTGTTCTTTGTTACTTGGGACTGTATATCTCAGCCAACATCTTTTCATTATAGCCATGACAGTCAAATATTAATCCACTATCTTAAATTTATTTAAAAAGATTTAAACTGTTAACATCTGGAAAAAACTTTTTAGTCCTGAAGTCGCACTGTCATGCATTAAGAGTTGGAACATAAACAATTTTAGGTTTATTTTAGAAGAAGAAAAATAAATTTTATTCTGGGACTAAGTCTCCTTAGAATAACTACAATGTACAATTTAATGACAATTCTCTAGCATTAGGAATAACTTAGATTACATGATTGTCTAGATCTATGGTTACAATAAAGAAAATGCACTGTTAGATACATGAAATCATAGATAAATTCAAATATGTGAGTTCACATAAACAATGTGGGTGATATATAATTATCTGTCAGATAACATTAATGTGATAACAGATTTGAAAAACGTTAACATTATTTTACACATATTCGGAAGATTGATTACTGAGGAGATGGATAAATAAATAATGTTTAAATGAGGTCAAGGATGATGATTTGCTTTTAGAAGTCGGTAGGGAATTCCAAATCAAGGTAGCACACATGACAAAGGATTTTTTGAAGGAAACAGTTCTAAGAGAAGGAATAAACAGGTTTGAGGGCTGGGATCTCGTGTTGAACGATTGGACTACATCCAACATCCATAATTTTATGAAAATAACACTAACTCACAGCTTGCATGAGGAACAAAAAAATAAACAATGGAATAACTTAGGTTTGCGGAGATAAAAAGGGAGGTTATGTGATATAAGATTAGATAACAAGGGAGGTTTCTCGACCCTTGCTATTTAATAAGTACCATTAGTAGTTTCTCATAGCTATTGTTATCTGGTCTTTCCTTAGCCCTGATGAAGGCTGAAACATCAACAAAAATAAAAATAAATATCATTTATTTATTTTTGACAAAAACCAAACCAACTTCTCTTCAATTTCAAAAGTTCTTTTTACAATACCCTAATTTAACTCTTCCTCTTTTTAGAAGGAACTTCCACTTTCTCTTACCTGTACCTACACTATATAATGTTTTATGCCTATAATATTTAGATAAATCAAATTCAATGCATTCTTCTTTTAAAATACTTCATGCTTTTAATTATCAAAGTTATTGGTTTTAAAGTTCAACTAGATTTCTATTTTGTTATCTTATTGATTTTTTTTTTCATAGATTATGATGCTTTTACTTTTAAGATTTCATTGCTACTAAACCCAGAAATACTTTATAGTTTTATATACTTATATTATTTTGAAAAATCTACATTTTAACTTATCCATTGGTGATACTATACTTAATGCAAATCTATTGCTGTCATTTTGGGTCATTTGGCATGATTTCCAGCCCTAACATTTTAAAATAATGAGGTTGTATAGTCCAAACTGTCCAATATTTTTGTAGGCAACCATTTTTTTTCTCGATTTAGTGAACAAATTATCTTACGATTCAAGTGGGAAGTAGATGAGTATTCATGAGTTATCAGTATTCCATTAAATTAATTAATTTTAATGAGAAAAATGCCCCATATCTAAGAATTTTTTTAGATAAAAAAAAAATTAGGTTACCATAAGATAAAGCTGCTCATAATGTTTTAGAGGAATGTTAATAATTTGATTAAAGGACGTCTACCGCGGGCTATAGTCTGCTCCTCATAAATTAAACCAAGCTACTAATGTTATTTATAAAATTTATTAATTCAGTTATATCTTATCATTTTAGGTTCTAGGGCTCTATGCTCTAGTTTTTATGGTAGCACTCCCGACAGTCGTTGGTATATGGTGGTATAGATCTATCCGCTACACCGGTGATCAGGTAACATTATTTCTTATTATTATTTTTTTTTTTTAATTAATCTAATCCTTATTCTTTTACTATTATTTACATATTAACTAAATTTATCGATAGGTTCTTCTCGATACTTCACAAATGTACTACTATTTTTTTCACAAAACTCCATCGATGGCACTCAAAAGGGTTATTATGATACTTGGAGCATCTCTTGAATTTGAGAAGCAATATAATAGTGAAATTGTCGAGCGCCCAACAGATAATATGGAAATACCTCAGGTAAAATAAATAATTTATTAAAAATACATTAATTTATTAAATATGTAATTTAATATATTTTAATTTAAGAGTCTGAGCAGCAGTCCCCAATCTTTTTCTATATGAGGGAAAATTTTTACTTTTACATATCTATATATGAAATATACAGTAAAGGAAAGTTTTACGATAGTGAAAATTTTTGAATCTCAGTTTTCAATGGAAAGACGCGTTTTGAAGTCCCCTCCTGAGTCCAAATAACCAAGTCCCACAAAATGGTATCTGTGTGTGTTTTAACAGTTTAGCTAAAAAAAAAAGTTGTATGAAAGCGAAATTGCATATTAACGGTTTTTATATGCTAGGGATGTTACAGCAACTTTTTCATCAAAATCGCCTTAACCCGACTTTATGGCCTTAACTGCACTTTATGTCATGGACTAAACACATTTTTACAATTTTCTCGATAATGGCTCTAACGATTTTGATTAAATTCATTATGCCAGTGTAAAATTAAGCAATTTAAAATAAAGTTTAGTTTTTATTCTGATTGATGTTCTGTAACAGGGCTTAAATTTTCAATATTAGCTTCCCCTAAAGTACCTTTAATTTTTTTTTATTTGAAACAATTGACCGTTTCATATTAATTCCTAATATAAAAGATAGTTAAATATAAAATATGAAAGAATTTGATAATTAACTAAAGGAGAAATAAGAGATGGTAACAAAGAATAGTTGTAATTGAGGAGCCAAAGGAATATGAGCGCCCGAGTTCGCCCAAAAATTAGAACACGCTTCCATACGTAACATGACCTTAATATAATATGGACTCCGACATTATTATATAAATATATATACACAGTTTTCATAAATGCTGTTGTTGGTATTATTAATGGCATTATTATTATTTATCTTTCAATTCTTAAATTATGAAAATTAATATATATATTTTTTCTGTTTAATCTTATTAGCTGATGAGGCAAATCTATAACCTTGGAGAGAAAAATCGAGAGAAACCATTGTGCTATAGATATTCGATAAAGGCTCGTGTTCTTATCCATGCTCATCTTTCGAGAATCGCTTTGAACCCGTTGACGTTGGACAGAGATCGGATGTACATCGTCAAGAAATGTCCATATCTTATTCAAGAAATGGTGAATTGTGTATCGGGATTAATTATGTTAGCTTATGCTCGTAGGAGTAAGTGAATTATTTTTTTATGATGTTTAGATTATTGTGTTAAACCTCTTTGCTTTGTAAAAAATAATGATAATTAATGATTCTGATTTCATTTCTAGTTCCGAGATTACCTAGTATAGATACCATCGAAAACTGTATGAAGTTGTGCCCGATGATGGTCCAAGCTCTTTGGGAATTCAAGAGCCCACTCCTTCAGCTTCCTCACGTAAAGGAAGAGCATCTAAAATATTTTATTAATAAGAAGGTAGCAAATTTTAAAATTATTTATTTTTAAAATGTATGATGTTATTTTATATTATCAACTTACTTTTAAGTCACTTGGAACCCCCATACCAGACTGAAACGACTAGAAACCGCCCGACGTTTTCGACTACTGCAGCACTTACTAGACAAATGCTCTAAACTTCCAACTATTTACAAAAGACTGATATATATATATATATATATATATATATATATATATTATTTGTAATTTACATAACGACCTTAATGTACCATATGTTTCCGATTTAGCTCAATCCAGATACCTATCCTTCCATAATAAACTTCTGAACCATCCGAATCCTCTTGTTTCCAACCTTGCTTCCTCTTCTATCCCTGATAACCCTCCGGGACGTCTGAAAAGAAGATGGCCTCGGGACCTTCTTATATAGAAATATAATTGGAATGCTACCAATGGGTAGTTTCTCTTCATGTTGTACATGTCATGTTACTTATTTCATATTTACTGTTTGTATTTATCATTTATACATTTATAAATTTCAACAATAAAAAAAAAAAAAAAAAATCTTTTTAAGTCATCATGAAATTGGAGCGGTTTCAACTACGTACAAATCATTTGATTTTGTAAAATAATATAATTATTATCAAAATGAATATTATGATTGTGCAGTATTTTTTAAAAATAAATTTATAATTAAATGTTTTATTATCATTAGTAACTTATAAATGAACAATTCTACAATAAAGGGGGGAGGGGAAATCATCACTTGACATTGTTTGGGGTGTGAAATAGTACAAATGTTGTATATCTTTCAAAGTATGACTAGCGATATAAATAAAATGAAAAAAAAATAGTTTATTTGAATTCTATGATGTATGAATTTAAAAAAATAAATAAAGGAATAGGAGATTCCTATTTTTGTTTTTTTTAATGCCTATCTGGGACCACGTCTTTCCTTTCTTACTGGCTCCTTCTCAGTACTCCCTATAATGGATCCATCCATCAATATTTTTTCATTATTAACCATTATCTGTCTTATAATATTATATCTCTGATTGTATTAAACAATTTTCAGCCCTGTTGATGACCCACATACTTGGGTTGAAACATCGGCACAAATAAAAACCTTATAAATGACTGCATTCTTACTATTATATCACTTATAATATAATTCTTAATATATATCACTTGATATGTAGAAAAGTAGACTAACTTCCTTCATTAATTCCTATTCGTTCTAATTTTAGAGATACGTTAAAACTATTCAACAACTTGTGCAATTGAAAAGTGACGACAGGCGCAACATTTTGAGGTTTCTCAACGACGAAGAATACGAAGATGTGATGAAAGTTGTTGGAAGAATGCCATTAATCGATTTTCAAGTACGATCTGAAGGTAAAATTATTAATTTTAAATGAAATTTTTATTTTTTTAATTAGTTTTAGTCTCGCACGACTAGCTCCTAATTTTTTTATCCAGCAATGGTTAGATATACCATTTTAATGTTTACTCTAGAAACACTAGGAGAGTTTATCATTTATATCACGAGTCTCCAAAATTTTTGGCCATCGGACCACCAAATCCCACAGGTTTTTTATGATGAAAAAAAAAGCTTGTTCTATGAATGACGCTTCAGTTGTGAAATGAACTTTTTAAAAGAATTGAGTGATTTAATATATTTTAAAAGGTTTCTATGTAATCGAAAACACCTTTGCGGCCAGACTAGAAGTGTTCAGCGGCCGGATCACTCAACCATGGGCCGTAGTTTAGAGACCTCTGATTTACATGATTGATCTTCGCCGTGAAATATTTTTATTTTAATGAAATATAGTTTTGTTATAAATACTACCTACTAAACAATGTATTAATTATAGCTATGCTTTACTAAGCCTTAAGCAAAAGGTTTCAATGTGATTGACACGCCACTTCATGTACTAATTTGTGTGTCAGCTCTCTTGGACCGAGAAACAAACTTTAGGATCCCCTGGTTGGAGCAGACTACATATAGTTGGAGTAATTAGATTCACACAAAATATAAAGATAAAGTAAAATTACTCGAGCCTACAAAGTCTTAAAGAATTAAGTAAGGAAGTTGGTATATGAACAAACGGGCTAACCCGTGTACAATGCCTGGCAACCTGATGGAAGATAATATGATACAATAATTACGAGTTTGCGTCCCAATGCCGGAAGGAGTGGGGCTTTTAACTCTGGTATTAATCTCCTATCCTCACCCCTTGCCTGGGAAAATCCCATATAGCCTAAAAGGAGAGGAAGGGAAGGACTTAATAAAATAAATAAAAGGATTCCCTAATTGTCTTACAAATAAGAAACTGTAATGATGAACTGTACAAAGAATCTGTTTTTACTACATTTCACTTTCGATGCCGGCTAGAGACTCTACTTTTATAAGCGATTGTTCAGGGATCAACCCCTGAAACACAAAAAATAACAATTCAATACAGTCAGAACTTCACCACCATTTTGCTGCAAACCATTCCTGTAGAGTTAATCTGTTCATTTGGTGAAGTGTGCACACATTAAGGAACTCTCTTAAGAAATGGCAAGAAAAGACAATATGAGTTGCTAAACTCTAAGAGAACAGCCTGGTGGAGGAAGAAGAGGTGGCCAAAACCATGAAGCTCAATTTCAGACAGAAAGTGAGTCCAAATTGACAATCAAGCAATATTTAATTAATCTGCAAAGAACCACACCATTGCACAAAGGCACTAATTTCATTTACTTTATTCAATTATATGCAATATAATCATTTTATCAATATTTTGTTTATTTAATCAAGTATCAAATTTCAGTGATCCAACCTCATACAGTCCACACCAATTTTCTCAATCACCAGCGCATATAATTCACTTACAGATCGTTGGGTAATATTTGGCTCACACCAAATTACCGTGATCTAACAGCAATATTTCATTTTCACCACTCTCTTGTTTTTTAAAAAATTTCCTCTTAAGCTTATTCCCTTCCAGTTTTATTTTGTGTGAAATGGTGATTATACTACCGTTTCATATTTATTTGTGATTTTTACTTTCACTTACCTATATATTTTGAAAGTTTTGCTATTGTGAAAATTTTTTATTCTGAGTTTTGAACAAAAATACATGTTTTGAGATCCCCTGAGTCCAAATAATCAAGTATCGTAAAATGGTCTGTGTGTGTGAATAGTCAAGCTCAAAAAGGAAAAGTTGTACGGAGCTGAAATAGCATATTTAAAGTTTGTGTATGCCTTTGATGTTTAATTAGGATGTAGGATGTAGCAACTTGTTTGCCAGTTTATATCATTGATTTTAGACACTTGTACAATTTTCTTGAAAACAGCTCTAACAATTTTGATAAAATTGATTATATCAGAGTAAAATTAAGCGGTTTTTAATATAATGGAGGTCTTATTCTCATTGGTATTCTCTTTTCTTTTCTTCATCTAAAGTACTTTTTCTTTTTTTTTTAAATACTCAACCATTTCGCATTATTAACTGATACAAAAATAGTTAAATATAATGAATGGAGAAAATTGATTGGTAACTAATGGAGAAATAAGGGTTGGAAGTTATATGATACTATGGAATATATATGATACTATGAAAGCTATATATAAATATATATGATTCATTCATATATATAAATATATATGAATCATTCATTCATATATATTAATACTATGGAAGCTATATTATGCTATAAGCTATATAACATAATGGAGGTCTTATTCTCATTGATATTCTCTTTTCTTTTCTTCCTCTAAAGTACCTTTTCTTTTCTTTTTTTTTTTTAAATACTTAACCATTTCATATTATAAACTGATACAAAAAATAGTTAAATATAATGAATGGAGAGAATTGATCGGTAACTAATGGAGAAATAAGGGTTGGAAGCTATATGGAAACAGCCAGAGAGCGCCTGACTTTTTCTGAACCCCTCTTTTTACAGATACTCGATACGCCTCTGTACAGTACTTTCATATTGTTAGTTTAAATTTTATAAATCACTCATCCATACCTTCTAAAAAGGTCTTTATGCGAAATGTTGAGAGTCTTTTAATATAAATCTAATATTATACAATATTTACTAACATTAAGTTATTTTTTCTTCAAGTTTCGTGATAACTGTTTGTGATAAACCTCTTAATTTTTCCAAAAAAAAAAAATTTTTCCCACAATCATTAGTATTGTTTTGGTACTATACACAGTTATAAAAGGAAATGGAAAGTGTTACAAATGTATAAATTTAGTAGATTCAATGGGCGGTGATAAAACATGGTAATTAATTTAATTAAATGATGTTATATCGTTGTTTTCACTTTGTCTTCCCTATGTATGAAAATAACTATCTACTCTAAGGTTGTTAAGTGAAAATTGTGTGATGTGTGCCAGATTTTTGTTTTTTAACTTTACTTAGCTATATTTGAAACATATAGTAACGAAAAGTATTACTATTGAAAAAAAAAATTGTATCCAAATTTTCAACAGAAATTCATATTTTCAAATATATAATTTTTTCCTGTTTTTTATATATGTGTAAATTCAGTTTTTTTTTTTTTAATTATAAGGTCGTCATTGATAAGAAATTGAATTACTTAAAATATTAATTAGTTTTATGTTTATATTTCAGTAATTGATGATGAAGCTTCTACGGTATATACTGCAGGTGCTATAGTCACTGTCACTGTTACCCTTATACGGAAGGACATGAGTAATTTATTAGGTGATGAAACTGTAAAAGAAAAACACTGTGCCGTTGATAGTCCCGAATTAAAAGAAGAAGAAGAAGCTAAACCAGCCGAAGGAGAAACAAAAGAACCCGTAAGCTATATTAATATTTTTTCATTTTTATCAATAAAGTTTAATTTATTAGGGGTATTCATACAGCTTGTCATAAATGCTTATCGTGCTAAGCAGTTAGCATAAAGTTTAAATGTGTGATAAATGACTCTTGTATTTATGTAGTTAATATACTAAAGTGTTGTAATAAGGTTCTCATTTTTTAAATGCCAAAGCTAAATAAAAAGGCAGAATTGCTGGATTAATTTATTTAAAATTCTTCAAAAGAAAGCACGAATGAAGATTCAGAAGACAGAGAACTTGATAAAAACAGGAAGTGAAATCTTCGCTTTCTATGAGGCATAGTTTAAATTTTCTTCCTGGATAAGTGAAGAAGTCTTCTCATTGGTGTCATTCAACATGGATGATGGCAGATGGCGAGAGTTGATAGATAGCAGTTTAATTTTATATTAAATGTAATTCAAGACCTTCCTGTCTTTTCACCAAGACAGCACCCGATTTCTTCCCAATAGTTTGTAGTATTATACAGACTTGTATTTTATGACTGGTACTGGATTGGGTTTTCTGGAAAATAATGCGGGATTTTGATTTAGAAAGAAAGATACTTTACAGCTGTTTTATTTAATCAAATTAGTCTCCACCACTATCAATACATTTCTGCCGACGTGTTGGCAACTTTTCCATTCCCTCGGAATAGAATTTCCTATCTTTAGAGTTGATAAACTTAAAAAAATACAGTCAATTTGTTAAGGTTAAGTTTCCCTGCAAGTTCTCGTTCAGCACAGTTGTTCTAGGGTTTCCTTCCACCAAAATCCGCAGAACATCATAAAGAGAGAAAGTCCTTCCACGACCTTTGTCTTCAACGCTGAAGTCTCTCTCACAAAATTTTTTTAAGCACTATTGAACAGTGCACTCATTAATGCTGCTCTCGTCCCAGACTTTATTAATGTTTCTGGACGTCTGGGCCCCATTTTTTAATAGGCGAAACAAAATTATATAAAAATTATGCGTTGACATCTTAGTAAAGACTGAATTATTTCTTAGCAGCGAAATCCTACAGAAGTAAACAAACATTATCGTTTAGAAGAGGATTAATAAGTTTTGACATTCATACAAATTAATAAACCAGTAAATGTAAACAATTTGTTATATAAAGAGATATTTTAAAGAAAACTCAAAATCCTGCATTATTTTCTATACAACCCAATACAAAATATTAAACACAACATCGAAATCTCATTATAACCTTCCCCCTACAGTTACGAAATTAGCACCTCTTAACAGAACCACAGACTGTGTGCTTTTTAAATCGAGTGTGCTAGCAGCAGTATTTAACACACATTTCTTATATAAGTTACTGATCATATGAATACCTCTATTATATTTTTGATATACCAAAATAACTTATAGGTAAAATATCCTGAAGTTTATGGCTGTAATTACTTTATCTTATTTTTATTAATACTATTATTTTTTTGCTTAGGTTAAAAAGCAGCCAGTTTGGCAGAAACAAAGAAAAGCTGGAAAGAAGAGCGGAAAGAAACAGCAGGGTAAGAAACATCAACATAATGAAAATAAAGCACAGTCTAATAAAAAAGCGGCTGAAGAAAAACCACAAGCCAACGCTGAAAAAGACAAGGAGAAGCAGCCTTTAGCTACTCAGGTGGTTTATCATTATTTTTTATCTATTATTGCTTTTTTAATATTTATTATTAAATACATTTGAGCCCACGATGTAAAATAAAAATTTTTTAGGATTTTTTCTTTAATTGTTTCTTATAAAGATGTCAAATCTAGAAATCATTGGTATGGTTACGAAGAGCAATAATTCGCCTTTTTAATGGATATAGTGACATAGAAGTCATAAAAATTATGAAATTATGAATGGTTTAGTTAATGGTAAAAAGTGAAATCCTCAAAGAAAACCAAATACTCAAATTAATATTTTTTATTTTTATAAAAATTCTTATTGAAGATTCGTTAAAGACATTAAAAATGAATCTAATTTCCTTTTTAATAACAAAAATTTACTTGGTCTATTTTACAGATGGTGTTTTTGTTTTTGGTAATTTTTGATACCTTATAACTCATTTAATAATAATAATACTTTATTTATTCTGGGATGAGTGCCCTTAATAATACAGAAAAAACAGAAATGTGGGCTGAGGAGCCTCAGGGATACATAAACAAAAATACATAGTAATTAAATAGTAAATAAATTATAAGTTACTTTCTAATTTTAATCAGTAAATAATAGAAAATAAAAAAATGAAGGACAATCTAATAATTTATATATATATATTTACAGTAGTATCTATTTACAATTTTTTGGGGACTGGATGGATAAGAAATTATTGAACAGGTGGGATTTAAAGGTAGGAAGGGTATTGGATTTACGAATGTGCGAAGGGATGGGGATCGGATAATGAACGATCTGTCGAAAGCAGCTGTTTGGTGGGCACTTATGTATAAATCTGAAGACCGGGAATGAGTATTGTGGGAACGAACAGAGGATTTGAATTGAAGGAACTCGGAGATGTATGAGGGGCGGCGGGATTGGATGACTTGAAAGAGGAAGGATGAAGCAACTTCCTCCCTGCATAAAAATGGGAAACAGAGGCATCCCTTGATATTCCGAAGATGAATCGTACAAAGCAATTTATCAAACGTTTTAGTTTCGCCTCGATATCCCCAGATACGCCCCCATATACCGATCAGCAATAGCCAAAGTGGGGAAATATTAAGGAAGTGACTAGGAGCCTGCAGGTTTCAAGGGGAAATAGGTGACGGAAGTAATTTAGACGTTTAAAGGTGGAAAAGGTACGCCGGGAGATATTTGATACATGGTTTTTCCAGGAAAATGTTTGGTCAAAAATTATTCTAAGGTTTTTGATGGTGGGGTAAAATTAAATAGAATTATCATGTAGGAACTGAGTTGGAATATTGGGAACAGTTTTAAGAAGGTGACTAAAACCTATTAACGTTAAGATTTTTTTTTCTCGACCCCTTAAGACTCAGTGGAACGAATGCCACGGAATATGTACCTAATATTTTTCCATGTATAATCACTAAAAAACAATTTTCTTGAAATAGGTGACTCACCCATTGTGACCTACCCTTGTTAGTTCTACTCTTATTTTGCTCTTTATCTCCCTCCCCCTTCTATTTATATTTATGTATACTTTATGTTTTATATTTTTAAGATCTTTTATAGACGTGATTTATTCAATTAAAGTAAAAGAATTTAATTACACGTTATTACAACACAAGTTAATTCTAACACTAATCCAATATAACAATACAAGAAGGTATTTTATAATAAATAATCATTAACATCTGATTTAAAGATAAGTAACAGTTGAAGTGTTTAAAGGTTGCTCGAGTAACCTTACATATTTTTTTTTATAAAATAGTGTTTGTTAATTTATTATATCATTTTGTACGTTTTTGTTTTTATGTTTTATTGGGATTATTGATTATATGTCATTTTTTTATTTATTTTTGGATTCTTATAAATAATTTTGTCTAATTTTAATATTTTATTATCAGAAAAAAACTCAGGCTGAAGGAGCAGATGGCGATGATAGTTCCGCAGCTGATGAAAGCGACATTTCCGATTACGAGCAGGACAAGTCAGATGATGATGAAAGTGGTGGGGATAGAAAGGTAAATATATTTTAATAATTTTATATATTTCATTCCGTTCCTGTTTAGGTCACAAAATATAAAAATATCTTCATTCAGGCATGTTGTTAAAAAAAAAAAAATAATTAAAATCCCCACATGTATTATTACAGTAAGGCTCAAAATTGGTTTTGTACCAAATATAAGCTCCTGTCAAGCTCAAATACCATGAATGGGGTACCGTATTCAGAATTTCACGGGGGGTTAGCGAATCGTATTCTCCACTTTTGTTTTTCTTTCTGAAATAAATAAAGTCGATACAAACATTTTGCTAGGCTTCAATACTGGAACGGTGGTAGGTCTGTAGATCGATGCGGGACAAATTGGACGTTGAAGATTTTGGTATTGTGGTCAAGAGAAAATATCTAGATCGAAAAATAACTGCTGTCACCTAGGTAAAATCAAACTACCACATCCAGATGAATGAATACCATTTCCCGTACAAATTTTTAGTCTAAAATCTTTATTTTGTATAAGGAGAGTATTAAGTAATAGGAGCTCAACACAAACGTAATTAAATGAACAGCTGTGTAATTAGTTCTGATTATAGAGACTATATTAGAGCTCCTGTAACCTCTTACGCTCCTAATACCAAGATAAAATAAAATATGACATATGCTAAACACTTTTTTATATAATAGAGTGATTTAATGTTACAAACAAGTCGTTGTTGTTTTAATTTCTGACTGGGTTGGGGTATGTTTATTGGGGGAGTGGGAAGGTCGAGATTCATTCCGTGGCTGGATCGAAGGAGAAAAAAAAAAAAAAAAAAAGGATCATGATGAAGGACCTACATTGTGGATTAAAACATCAAAATTGAATAGATAATCAGAATTTACTTTTTTTACTTATACCTTGGCCATACTCTTCATGTATAATATTTCTTTTATTTTTTTCGTATTTAAATACATTTTAATTTAAGATCACTATTTATTGTACAATCTCATAATAATATGTTTCTTTATTTTTATTTTTAAAAGGACAATGGATTTGAAGATGATGAAGATTGGGAAAAATTCCAAACAGGTATCAAAAAACGAGAAAAAATATTGGAAGGTAAAAGCAAGATATCACATTCTGTTCACTGCCCATATTTTCCAGAGGTATATAAAAGTTTTTTAAATTTTATTTTATTTAATGTTACTGAAAATTCATTAAAAAGTTATCCATTTTAATATTTTATTGGTCAATTTTGAAGAACTTCAATCTTTTTTTTTTGAGCTGTCAAATAGCATAAAAAAAAATTATGTTTAGTAAGTATTCTGCTATATATAAAATTAATTTAAACCAACAGCTGTTCCTAACAAATTATTAATGAAAATCGATGCTTTATTTATTTACGTGCCACTCTTTCCTGCCTATTATGCGATATTACGCATGAATGTGTAATAACTCAATAATAGTAGGAGATTATGTTAAAAAATAATGCTTGTATCGTTTATTTATGTACAATAAATATATAGATTATTTCAATTTCCCTATACTTACTTTCGTACAAATAGATAACAATTTTATTATGTTTTGTTATATTGGTTTTTAATTTCAAAATGATTTTATTTTATTTATTTTAAAGGAGAAGCAGGAATATTGGTGGGTATATCTGAGTGATAGGAAATCAAGAACACTTTTAACATCTCCTTATCACGTTACGGCTCTGGTCGATAAAGAAGAAATTCAATTGAAGTTCACCGCGCCGAGGTGGCCTGGACTTTATTCATTTACAGTATGCCTTCGTTCCGATTCGTACTTGGGTTTCGATCAAACTCAAGAACTAAAAGTAAGTTAAATTTTATTAAAATTTGAAATACTTTTATTTATTTATGATCGTTATTATTATTATTATTATTGTTTTAACAACAGGTCTTCAAGGGCTACTTACATAAACATAATTTTGTATAATTTCTTTCTTCATCTTTCATAATTTTTTTATTCTCTCTGACTGGCTCTTCTTGAAATTAAAACTTCTTTAGGTGAGCTTGGCACCTTATTTTGTGAGTATTGAATAAGACTGAGCTGTCAAGTTCGACTACCTTATGGTCATTTAAGCTCGAATAGACTAATTTTTGCATTTGGATTAAAGTATCTCAGAAATTAAAAATCGGACTTGAATACTGGAAGCGAGGGTGATGTTCAACATTTCAACCTCTTTGTAATGAGCTATTATTAAAAATTGTATCGTGATGCGACACCATGTTAGAGAGACGAAAAGGGATAAAGATACTTTCAATAACCTTATGATAATGGTATTTTTTTTTACTTTTGTACTAATATATCTCAAAAACTAAAATTCGGGGACGTGCATATTGTAAGCTAGGGAAATTTTCAGTATTTCATCCTCTTTGTAATGAGCTATAATTCAAAATTGTATTTTTATGTGATGCCGAGTTTAAGAGTTGGAAAGGAAAAAGTGCCAAATAATCAAATATGACTTTTTTTTATGTATCTGTTTGAGGCCAAAGGTCACCAAATATACACAGTTTTTTTATCTCCTGTATTCTTTATTCAACGTTTCGGCTTCAGGAGCCATTTTCAAGATCCATGCACCGCGCCATAAAATTTTTAAAATCTATCATTGCGATATGATTCGTCCTTAAGTCATTCTTTTATTTCAAAGAGAATAAACGACTCTTGAGTCCTGTATAAATGCCCTAGTGAGGAGCAACAATTTCTTGCTGCAATTGCTATCGTCTGCAAATAGAGAAATGGAAAACGACATTCTTTGAAATAAAAGAATGACTTAAGGACGAATCATATCGCGATGATAGATTTTAAAAATTTTATGGTGCGGTGCATGGATCTTGAAAATGGCTCCTGAAACCGAAACGTTGAATAAAGAATACAGGACATAAAAAAACAGTGTATATTTGGTGACCTTTGGCCTCAAATAGATGTATAAAAAGTTATGAGAAAATGGAACCAAACCTGATGGAAGTGACTTGAAAATCAAATATGACTGTTTTGAACATTTGGACTAAAATATCTCAAAATTTAAATACCAAGAGAATTCAAAAACCAATTTGCTGAAGTCAATATAGATATTATTTTTAATCAGTCGTAAGAATAAGAAATTAAATGTTTCTATTCGATTTTCTATTGTACTCGATAGTATTTCGAAAATATCTGACCTCCATTACAGAAGTTTTATTTAAAAAAAAAAAATAACCAATACTACACAATTGTCTTATACTAATTGATGTCTCATTGCATATGAATGTATAAATATTTATACACAATTATAATTATAATTGTACATATTATAAATGTTTATTACAAATTACTTTGTGGATATAGAACAAAAAAAATGTTTATATTTCATATTATTTATTCCATCTTCTTTATGTTTTCACGTATATGTGGTTTTAAGCATATACCATAGTTTTAGTTTTATTTTTCCTGATCTAGAATATTCATTCTCAGCAATATTGAATTTTTGAGCTCTTCTAGTAATAGTCAGTATTGATGATAGAGAATATATCATAGGTGGGGAACCTACATCCTCTAGGCCACATGTGGCCTATATGAGCTAGCTGTAGCCACGGAGGCCACATGAATTAATTAATATTTAATTATTTAGGTTGCAAAAATTTGGAACTTAATAAAATAAGTTGAATATATGTATACAGGTGTGTGTATTAGGGATAAAAAAAATAGAAACAGCAAAATAAAAATAATTGTTGCGGCCTTCATTTGCACTGTTTAACGTTACTACGACGTCTAATGATAATAAGGTTCCCCAGCTGTGGAGTATACTATTTTTATTTTTGTATAACTTAAGAATTAAATATTTTAGTATTAACAATCAAATAGTGAATTTCCTGGGTCCTTAAATTTGTAAAAGATACATAAATTTTTTCCAACATTCCTATTTTGAAGTCATTAATGCCGTTGCAGCTAAAAATAATATTTTAGCTTTCCTCTTTTTCAGTTAAGACTTTGAAATTAATAATAAATTATTGAAATTGCCTAAATGTTGAATATATTTCTAGTTGGACGTGAAGGAGGCTCCTGAAGTACCATTGGAGCATCCTCAGTGGGATATGTCCGGCGAAGAGGAAGATGGCAGACCTGATGGCGAAGCAAGCGATGCCTCCGAATTCGCCACCGATGAGGATATCGATTCAGAACATGATCAGGAATAAGGTATTAATTGATAAAGTTACAAAAAATATTGTATTGAATAAAAGTATTAAAATTTTTAATGTGTATAACCTGGATATAAATAAATTATTATTACTAAGGCCTTGGATTTAAATGCACACACAAAAACATTGAAATTTTCTATAAGAAGTTTGTACAAGTATACCTCAGTGAGAATTAGATTGATGTCATTTTTCCTAATGCATTCGACTTATAGTACGTGACATGCTTATTCGTATATGGAGGGTGTCTTGGTTGGTAATAGCCAAACTGCAGGGGGCGATTCTTATAAAATGAGGTAAATAAGGTAGAAATTCACAAAAACATACTTCAAAGTTAACTTATAACGAAAATGCACTTGTGACTTTTTGCATAAAGACTATTTCCAAAATTTGTCTATTGATAACACTAAAGCTCATCAATAGCTCATAATAAAAAAAAATAAAAATAAAAAAAAAAAAAAAAGGAAATCAGTTGAGAAACAGGTACTGAACAGTTTTGTCTTTGCCTATTCATGTTACAATATATTATACAGAGTCTCTCAGTTAATGACGAAACTTTGGGACGGCGATTCTTTATGGGGGGGAGGAGAGGGGAGGACCCGGTTGTGGTCTGACATATACAGATATGGTCTCATTATATCTATTTATAGTGTGGTACACGAACATACAGCTGTTACCCAAAGGGTGGCGGGGTGGCCGAATGGGCTAAAGCGTGTGCACAGCACTGCGAGTTGCCTGGCAATCGGATTACAGATTTGAGAAGATTTAAAAAGTACGAGTTCGCGTCCCGGTGCCAGAGGGATTTTAAATTCCCCGCCCTCACCTCTCGGTCCGGGAAAATCCCGTATAGCCTAAAAGGCGAGGTGGGGAAGAAAAACAAAAAAAGCTGATACCCGAAGGTTTCAAAGTGTTGAAAATCTCTGACTTACATTTTCCAACTTTGTGTAAGGCGATCACAGCTATTCGGTTTTTTTTTATCACCCCACTCCATATTAACGGAGCGAAAGAAAAATACAAACTAATTGGGATTATTATCCTGACATTTAAAGAAAATAAGCTGATAGAGGTAAGGATTATCTAAACACTACCCAAGGATGTAAACAAAGTTCAATTTTTGTAAAGTGGACGGTATACGGTAATTCATGAATGAAAGTCACAAGAATGACAAAGATTGCTCGGGATCGCTTTGATCATGAAGACCCCTACATATTCAATCATTACTTATCGTTGCTGACACCAATTTAGCTCTGTTGTAAACAAAGAAACAGCATAGATATGCTTATTTGGACTTTGTCATTTACAATATTGGGCATCAAGAGAAAAACGGAGATATAATAATTACTTCCTAGTGCCTGAAAATCGTTTAGACCAAAGTTAGAAAAAAACAAGTCAACTACATACAAAAATCTAGGAAAAGTATTGCGAAAATAATCAATTTGTTAAAAAAAAATGGAAAAATTAATGACAAATAAACACAACAGTTAAAGATTTTTTTTCTATTAGTAAATTGTGAAGTTTCCACTTTTTTTTCTCTCCAATTTATTGCCTACTTGACTATTTAAAGAAAAAATAGTTGAAAATGGTTAATAAAAATATAGACTAGGGATATAAACAACTATTTACTTTGATGAAATTATTTACTTAAAAACGAGACCTAGGTAAACTAACCCATCTAGTAGTAAGGTTAGTCTCATAGAAAATCGTTTTGACAAAAGTTAGTAAAATATAAGTCTACTACTTACAAAAATTAAGGAAAGGTATTGCGAAAATAATAAATTTGTTGAGGAAAATGGGAAAAGAACTGACAAATATACACAATGTTAAAGTTTTTTTCTTTTTTCTTAAAGTAAATTGTGAAGTTTCCATTTTTTTTAAAATTTGTTGCCCTCTTGACTATTTAAAAGAAATAGTTGAAGGTGGTTTAAAAATATAAACAAGGGATATGAAAAATTATTTAACTATTTACTTATAATGAAAATCAGAAATTTATAATGGTTGTGAGGCCTAGGTAACCTAACCTATCCAGCAGTATGGTTAGTCACCCCACTACTTTTACCTCAGTCCCCCCTCCACTTCTCGTGAATGAACCTTTGATTTCCGGATGTTCGGAAATCCGCAACGCACCACCATCAGTACTTCATTAACTACCTTACACGATAATTCGGAACGTCATTAGTGCTATTCCGAATGACTGTGCAGGGTCCGCTTAATAGTATTTATGGCAGAACTAGGTACATCATTTTTTGTTAACTTTATTGACAATACTTGACTATTTTCTACATTCCTCGGGATTCCATCTACTTACAGTGTGATCTTGTTAAAATCAGCTGCCATCTTCGAGTAGCCATGTGGAACTAATATCCGTATTTATTATCTAAAATTAATAATTTTATTTTAAATATTTCTTTTAAGTAATTTTATACATTTGTTTCTTTTTGTTTCAGTACTTTTGGAATTAAAGCAATGGAAAACTGGAACTACTGGTTATAAGTTTACAAATATTCTTATGATTTTTGCCTACTGGATAGACAAACAAAGTAAAGTGACTATTTGGTAGGCAGTGGCTCACAAGTTCTGATATTCGGTTATAAATATTTTTTGGATATAACTATTGTTAATAAGTATGAAATCTGGTAATAGTCATTTTCTTCAAAATTCAGTTATGAAAGAGATTTTAATTTGGACAACTTCTACGCGAATATAAATTGAACATTGAGTAAAAATGTTCTGCATTACAAGTGAAATATATTTTGGATGATACTTAAATTGAGGGAAATTAAAAGTATAAGACTGATGAAGGCGGTGGCAGTTGAATATCGAAAACCCTAAACAAAAAATTTTTATTTTTTTTACAACTTCATCAATATTAATCCATTTTATTATTTCATATATGTTTTTTTTTTCATTTCAATTTAAAAAAATATCTATATTTCATATTTATTTGTTAGTTTTATTCAAATACTTAATTTTTTTTCAAAGTATGAGACGTTAGTATTTGTTTTTGTATTTTCTAAATTTATGAATAGCTTTGTTGAATTTAGTTTCTTTAGCACACCAAAAATATATTCTTTATATATATATAATTTTAAATTAATATATATATATATATATTGTAATATATACTGAGTAAAATTTTCATATTCATTTTTAGTGATACGAATGAGTTATAAAATTGCCTATTATGTATATTACTTCGGTTCGATAATATTTTAAATCCAAACATTCCATTGTATGTATTTTCTTTTTAATTGGGCATTGATTTTTTTCTTTCCTTTTTTTTTAACATGTATGTATATTACGTTTTAGTAATTTATAAATATAATACAAACAAACAAACAAAAAAAAACGAGTTTTGTAGAAACAGCAATGTGCTTCCATAGTTTTTATTTAGAAATTATGAATTATCAGAATTGATTCCATTGTTATTAAGAAATTGTTTTAGTATTTATAAAATATATTGATTTGTTATTATTATTTTTTTTTTTAAAGAGAAACATTGTGGTTTATATTAAAGAATATTAATTTTGTTATTTACCTTTTTTTTTTTACTTACTTTATAAAACTATAATTAATTATATTTTATTAAATTTAGAAATTTTTGTTATATTATTTATAAAAATAATTGATAAACATGTTCATATAATGAAATTTAGGTACCAGTTTTAAATCGCTGCTCCAAGATGGTGGCTAATTTCAAGATCACTTTGAGTACGCTGTAAATGAAATCTCTAGGAATGCCGAAAATAACCGATTATTGACAATCATATTCATATACAAGTCTTAACTACATATTTTTGCCTAAATTGCAATTGCAGATAAAGTGATTTAATATAATATATAATATAAGAAAAAATAGTGTTTTGCTTGATTGTAGTAATGACACTCTGTTATAGATTACATCGTCGGTTTATTGCAATAAGTCACTAAGTACACTTTTGGTCGATTTGAACCTGAAGTTACGTAGTTGTCATTTTCGATCATATTTATAAAATGATATAAAATGACTCGTTAAGTGCATAAAAATATTACAAATCCTTTTATATGCAAAAAATAGTTTCACTTAGTGCGTGATGTTCTGGCAATACCGAGCGAAAAGTCATCAAGTTACTTCATGGAATTCTTGTTCTATAGTTATCTTAAAATAGAACGTCAAAATTCACTCTCTGGTGCTTAATGTCTTCTTGGATGATCATTAGTTAATAAAACTAATTAAGTGTGATAAGTCTAACTCACTCTATATACTTACAAGGTTATAAAAATAAATTAGTGTTTTTTTTAACTATGATGGAATGCAAAAAGTCACTCTGAGCGTCATTTAAAGTTTTTCCAGAGTCATTTAAAAATTTTTTAGCCTTGCATCCACAAGATTATTGGGATTGTAGTTCCGAAGATGGAAGTAAATATCCCGAAACGTCAACTTGTTAACATGTAACGTTGATAATAGAAATATATTCAATTGTTACCAATTGGAAGTAATTTTTGCCGAATAACTAAGAATATTAAACAACTTCCCAGAAAAAAGAAAAAGTTTTTTTCATTCTTATTCAATGTTATGTATATGTTAGGTATTTTAATTAATTGTTGGAAATAGAATACATATTCAGAACTTCAAATAACAAAAAATATCTTATATATTATTTCTCAAATATATATCCCTTTTCCGGCTCTCAGGAGTGATGGATTTTGATGAATGAGGTATCAATAGAAAGGGAATATCACGTAATGCGCGCGAATTGTAATTTTGATTCCTAATTTTATACCTGGACTTGAAAGTAGGAGGTTTCAAACCATATGACTGTGCCGCCTCAACTAATCAAGACGTTACAAATGAATTCATAATTTGGGAATAACTCGAAAAGGACACAATTTTTGGTCCATTATACATATGAGCATTTGAAAGCTTTAAATTCCCTATAAAACGTTTAAAAAAATCATCGAAATTGGAGAATTTGGTGCAGAGTTATAGATTTCTGAATATTTGTTATTTGTTATACTGCAAAGATTGTGTTTCTGGGATACAGTATATTATGTCTCAATTTGTATTTTTTTTTTTTTTTTAATTTCAAAACATATTCTTCTTAAATAATTTCAATATTAATTTTATTTTTATTTATATAAATATTTCTTCCTTTTAACATTGTTGGTAATTTTTTTCAATGTGCTTCGATTACAGTAGCATGTACTATTAGATCTTCATTATTGTAATTTATCATTTTAAAAATACATTTTCGATTTTTATTAATGATAAAGTAACATATATTCTGATTGAACTAACTATATTACTCCCTGAAAATTTGAGGCTTTTGTTATCATTATGTGTTAAGAGCAATGTTTAGAAGGTTTTGTTAATTTATGATAATCTTTTTTATTTTATTTTTTTTGATTTCTTAATGACATTTACAACTGTATTACATAAATACATCAAGTAAATTTGGACATAATAGATATAATGACATGAATACACTTGCTGAGTAACTACCCAATGGTAGCACTCTAATGATCTGACTACATTAGGAGATCACGGGGCCATCTTCTTTTCAGACGCCTCGGAGGGTTATCAGGAATTGAAGAGGAAGCAAGGTTAGAAACGAGAGGGTTGGGATGATTCTGAAGTTTTTTATGGAAGGATAGGTATCTGGATTGGGCCAGATCTGAAACATAAGGAATATTAAGATCTTTGTGGATAATTTTATTAGTGACAAAGTAAGGAGCATTGAGGATTTTACAAAGGATTTTGGATTGTAAGGATTGGATGCGAGAGGAATTCGATGGTTTAGTGGAGCCCCATAGCTCAAATCCGTAAGTCCAGATAGGTCTTATTACAGTCAAGTATATGATTCTTTTGTGATTAATGGGATGTTTAGAGCGTTTGTCTAGTATGTGCTGAAGTAATCGGAAACGTCGAGCGGTTTCTTGTCGTTTCAGTCTAGTATGAGGATTCCAAGTTAGTCGTTTGTCCAGGTGGAGTCATTGTTTACTGATAGGATACACGTGTCATCGGCATATGTGGTGATGACAGTGTTGGGACAGGTAGGGATGTCAGCTGTGTAAACTGTATAGAGGATAGGACCTAGGATACTACCTTGAGGAACACCAGCGGACTGATGATAATCTAATGAAGGAAAAAACTAATATTTAAATTATAAGTTTAAGGAAATGCAATGGTTAAACGATGGCAGATTGTGAATCCTATTTATAATGGACAACTTACAAAATATTTGTAATAAACCTTTGTGTATCAAACATTATTGAATGGAAGTTTTGCTGATCTCTTATTTTATTAAAATCAGATACAGTTATTAGGTTTTTTTTTTTTTTTTTTTTAATGTTGGCTTTAAGCACGTCGACCCCTTTGGGTCCATTGTGCGCCAATAAAAGGTTAGGTTAGTGTGGAGTATTCGCACAGGTCAGCCAGTGTAATCAAATTGCTCTTTAAGAATTTTTTTTTTAATGAATCAGAAACTTCAAATTCATTAAAATGTTATTTAATGACTTTTTGCAATAAACCAACGATATACAAATTTAATTATAAATTGTATTTCATAATCCATAAGAATATGTAGAATGTTAATCTTTGGTCAAAAACATCACAATTATGTTTATTTCAATATTTATTTTCAAGAATGAAGTGAAAGTTTCACAACGAACAGCTGACAAACATTTCATTTAAGTCAGTTAATAGTCTGTTATATATTTATAAAAAGAAGTGTTTTATTACGATTCTATGTACAAAGTGATTTTGAAAACAGCCTTCTATTTTAAAGTAGTGGTTTGAAACCAGTATTGAAATCTAATTTACGCAAACTATCTCTAAAAGAAGTACACACGGAGTGAAATTTCAGTCCTTTGATACTACTGTTGCACAGTAAATACTTCTAAGATATATTTTTAAAATGTGATGTATATAAATATTTAATGTATAGTAGTGAAAAATATGCTATTATATGTTTGTATTGGAAAATATGTAAAATAGAAAAAATTAAATAAATAAAGTGTTAATATTTATTTTGTATCTTACAATGAAATCATTGGGACAAAATAGTGTGTTCAAGGTTAAGAATTAGATGGAAAAAAATATGGAAAGTATGAGTTGAAGTTCTGTGTTTATATTGTCATAAATAAATTATTTAAATACATTGTGTTGTTTAATATCATGTAATAGTCCAGTAAGTGGGGAGTTTCTACTTGGAAAGTTTTGATACTTAGCTAAAATTAAAATCATTTTATGAGAAGGAGTTGATCGGGGGGTGCAGTCAAATTAATACTAAATTAAATAAGTATAATTATTTAATTTTGCCGACGTTTCGACCCACTTTGTAGTTCTTCATCAGGGCGTAGGATGTAGCACTGCGGGAGGCAGTTGAAACACTCCGATTCTATGTTCAAAGTGATTTTTACTTGTATTCTATGTACAAAGTGATTTTAATAAATATATTAAAATCATTTTAATATATTTATTTTGTTCAAACAAACATCACTTTGTATACAGGGTGTTTCAAGGTTAAGATATTCACACCTAAAGATTTTCATTGTTATGAATCAAGTAAAACCTATATATTTGTTTTAACTACTTTATTAAATAAATGTAAACATTAACATTAATATTAAATGTTAAAAGTGATTTTCTTGAGCATTAAGACAGTCATCTTTCTTCAACAGCAGCAGTGGCAGAACGGCACTGGATATGTGTTATTGTTTCACAAGGTTCAATTATCTTTCTTCGTAAGGAATTAAGGTCATTGACCGGACTTGCTCAATCATATCCCATATCCAAATCAATATATTAGCTGTGCAGGACCAATGGCTTGGCCTGCACGCTCTCGAGACCTGACACCACTGGATTTTTTGTTTGCGAAGAAGGATAATTGAATCTTGTGAAACAATAACATATATCCAGTGCCGTTCTGTCACTGCTGCTGTTGAAGAAAGATGCTCAAGGAAATCATAAAAAATTAACATGAATGTTAATGTTTAAATTTAATTAATAAAGTAGTTAAAACAAATATATAGGTTTTATTTAATTTATAACAACGAAAATCTTTAGATGTGAATATCTCCTAAACAAAAGTGTTTGTGGATATACCTTCAAGGAAATTTATTTCTAGTTCTGAGGTCCTTAGTTCATTTTTTCAGTTTGGCCATTTAGCCCTCCTGAAACACCCTGTATAGCCACACACTTATACTTTTCACTTATGCATCTATAATTTATTTTATAGATTTTATATTTTTTTCACTTATCTTATTATATATAGTATATAGTAAGGGAAAGTATTGCGATATGAAAAATTATAAATCAGAGTTTTGAAAAGAAATATATACGTTTTGAGTTCAAATAAATCAAGCACAGTGTTTATTAATCTAGTGCAAGAATTAATTAATATTTAATTATTTAAGTTACAAAAAATTGAAAGTCAATAGAATTAAGTTGAATATATGTATATGGGTAAGTGTTTTTTAGATAGATAGATAAAAGTCAAATATTACATCTGGTCAAAAATTACATTAATCAATATTAAAGAATATATACAGTATCTTCAGTAACATTATATTGAAACAAGTAAAAATAACACCATTTTGAAAAAAAAAAATAGAAAACAACATTATTTAAATGAAAAGAAAACAAAATAATATAAGCATGGGTTGATTTTTAAAATTAAAACTCAATCAATTTTAACAACCATTCACCTCAGTCAAAATCTGTTTCGCAATATTTATTTCATTGTATAACGTCATTTTGGGATGTGAGAAGGAATTGGTAAAGATGAGGACAAGGAAGAGGCATGGCGGATTTCAGAAGGCAAGAAATTCCAGAAGGCAGTGGATCGAGCAATAAAGGAATATTCGAATGTCTTGGTTCAATGGTAAGGGATATAAAGGTCGGAAACACGGGATCTTGTTTTCTGGGAGTGGACCACCGGTTTTAACTGTAGGAGACTGTAGATGTAGGAAGGGTGTCTGGTGTTGATTGTTTGGAATAAAAAAGATCCAAGGAAATATTATCTGCTGAAAGAAGGGGAGAGCCACTTTAACTCATCGTAAAGGTGGGATACATGAGACCGCCTCGATGTACCGAAGACAAATCTTAAGCAGGTATTCATGAGTTGCTTCAATCTATCCTGGAGTACCATCGGGATGCCTCCGTACACCACACAGCCGTAGTCAATGTGGGGGAAAGTAAGAGAGGATACAAGGAGCTTGCAGATGGGTTGTGGGAGTAGGTGGCGGGAGCGATGAAATAGCTTAAGGGTACCTATTGACTTACGGGAGATGAGGGCGGTATGGGGTTTCCAGGAGAGGTTTTCGTCTATGGTGATTCCTAGGTTTTTAATGGAGGAGCTGAATGTGATAGGATGATCGTTGATGACTAAAGGAGGAAGGAAGGAAATGGATTTAAGAATAGAACTGGAACCTATAATAATGGTCTCAGTTTTCATCACGTTTAACTTTAAATTATTCAGATTTGCCCAGGCACTGATCCTATCTAGGTCTGCCTGAATATTGGCGAACGCGACTAGTAGCTCAGAAGGATGAAAGGAAAAATAGATTTGGGAGTCATCAGTGTATAAATGATGTGAACAGTGGTAGATGGATTTGGAAAGATCATTTATGTTGGAAAGATCAGAGGACAGTGCAAGGAAGGAAGATAGAGGTTGGTTTGAAATGCTGAATGCTTGAGTTCTGTCGGATAGGAAAGACTGCAACCAGAGGATAGAGCTGTTGGAGAAGGATAGAGATTTTAATTTAGTGTAGAGTATAGAGTGGTCTAAGGAGTCAAAAGCTTTGGAAAAGTCGAGAAGTATTAACACATTTAACATTTTTTCGTCCATTGCGTTATGTAAGTCATTGGTAATTTTTAGTATGGGGGGATTGTGTGGAGAAGCCAGGTCGAAAACCAGATTGGAGAGGATCAAGTAGTTTTGAGTTTTCAAGGAATTTAGAGATTTGGGATTGAGCTATTCTTTCCAGAGCTTTAGAAAGGTTAGAAAGAATGGAAATTGGGCGGTAGTCTTTAGGAGAAGTAGGATTGGGGATTTTGTTAATAGGTCTGACTAATGCTTTTTTCCAAGCAGAAGGAAAAACTGTGTTCTGGAGGGAAAAATTATAGATGAAAAGGAGAACTGGAACGACTTCGGGAAGGTATAATTTTAACAGTTTGACTGGTATCCCATCAAGTCCGATGGACTTTGTGTGGGATTTCATTATAGAGGAAATAAGGTCAGTTGGTGAAATGTTGGAGAACTAGAAATTATCACTGTTAAATGAGGATGATAAGGAAAACTGGTAAGAGGAGGGTGAGCTGTTGCTGGTGGTGGAAAATATAAAATAGGATTTTAATTCATCAGGTGAAACCGGGTAGATCGGTGAGGGAGAGGATTTACAAAGAAGAGTTTTCGAAGGGTTAGCCATATTGATTTAGAATCAGGAGCAGAAGAGAATGTTTCATGAAAGAAGTTTTATTTCGCTTTCCTGATCATTGTTTGTGTCAAGTTACGGAGTATCCTATAGATTTGATAGTCATCTGCTAGTCGAGTTCGTCTACAGTCTGCCTTACATCTCTTTTGCAGGTCACGGATTTCTTGACATATCCAAGGAGCAACTTCAGCAATAGCAACAGTAAAATTTAAAAAATTGTTGCAGCTACCGTTAGCTCTGCCTAGCTTTGCAGCGGCCTCTAATGAGAAAAAGAATCCCCATCTATGTTCTAGCCTGGGTTCTCCAAACTACTGCTTCGCTAAAATAATTTTCAAAACATGAAATTCAATAAATCAATCAAAAACAAGGTTACTACAACTACTGCTTAAGTTATTTCTTTTAGAAAACTAATAGAAGCCGTGGCCTGCGGTACTTATTGGAGGTGTCAATGTGGCTTCTGATCTAGCTCAAAGACAAGAAGTCATACGAAACTGAAATTACTCAATTAAGGTTTATATATGCCTCGGTTACAGCAACTTTTTCTTCAAAATTATCTAACCTGAACAGGCTCTGTACAAATCACATATTTTCTTAAAAAAAAAAATAGAGTGGGGTAGCTCAGTGATAGTGTACTGACTTCCAATGCTCAAGGTCACATACTTGAATCTAGCTGGTAACAGATAAATTATTCTGTTTCGTCAGCTGTGGATCGACTAGGGTCTAGAGACCCTCTTGGGGTACACTCATCCTCTATAAAATGGGTACCCTTCATTAAATAAATAATTAAGGGGGAAAACCTGGCGGTTGAGCATGATCTTGTTCAAATCACCTCCTTACACAACCCTTGACCAAGACAAAGCATTGAACTCCCTTCTTGAGTGTAGTGGTACAGATTGTCTTAAAATGGCTCTTAGAATTTTTATTAAACTTAATTGCTTAATATATTATTATGTGGTTTTCAATTAAAGATTAAAGACTAGTTGGCCTGTGAAGTTGCTATTTAGTGAAGAAATAGCAAAACAATATGGAAATAAGTAGTTCCTATATATTATGTAAGAAAGAAATTAATATTTTTTCTTAGTCGATTACAATATTCCATTAAACATAATTGACCAAAATATTTATACAAATTGCTTTGCTAGGACCTATTTTTAAACGATGACTGGAAAGATAATAAAAGTAATAAAGACAAAATAATGCATATTTTAAGTTATTGAAAAAAAATAAAATGTAAGAACAACCAAATGTCTTTAAGAAATAATAAAGTTAATATAAAAGCCAGGAAAAATATGTAGTAGACTATTCTACTCCTAAATGCAATATCTTTAACCAGAAAGATTAAGTATACCAAAACTAATGGACTATATCTTTGTTAATAATTGTCCGATGGTTACAATTTGTTTTTGTTTTGTAGGTAATTTAATAATCTTTCTAATTATCATGGGTACAATACAGGAAAAATGCATACTTTTTGAGTTATTCGCAAATAAAGTTTCTTTTCCTCCATAACTTTTTTCCAGAAATTTCGGTGGGATGGGACTATTTTTCCCATGTGAAGGAGAAGAATATCTTCAAAATGAGTGGTCAATCATTGGATTTGATGAAGAATTGACGAAGTTATGGCGTAACGACATAACAACACCTTTTAGAAATAATATATAGGATTTTATCTTCATCCACTAGTGGATCCAGGATTTCTTATAATTATGCTTTTAAATTAAAAACATTATTATAAGTGGACAATGCACCAAATCCAGGCTGTTATCTCTGTCAACTGAGTTAAAATGGTCAGTAATGATTGAAGGAGTAGGTTTCATCATGATTGAAGCAATCCTTGTCAGTCTTGTGACTTTCATTCACGACTGATCTCTGTCAGGAGTATAAGTTCTGCTTAATTTGTTGAAGAATGAGGAAAAGAAAGAGCTGTGCACAGCTGTGAATTATTTAAACTGAAATAATTGCAGTAGCGCGTTATTATGCATTAAGGCTTAACATCACACTACTGTATACGCCCTTATTGTTCTAGTGGCATGGGGAGGTGGAAAAAATAACATAAATAAATAATAATAAACTAATTTATTAATTCCTAGATGTTATTTTTATTTGAATTGTTATTTATATTTAAAGATAATAATATATATCAGCAGGACCGGCCTTAGGTTGGGGGAGCCGACATTGAATGGCGCTTGCCACCCACTACACAGTCATTCGGAATTGCATTCCGAGGCATAAATGAACGCTAGACCACTATTTAGGAGTGCCCCAAGGTGGATGGCGCAAGAACTAATCTCTTCCCCTCCAAAGATATTTCATTGCTCATCTTTTCTTAAAAACAGAGCAAGGGAAAGTAGAATTAGATAAATCATCGGTCATACACAATCATACTAGCGCTCTCTATTCAATGTTTTCTCCTTGCATCTTATTCTGAAAATTTTCATTCCGAAAATTCTTAACACCGTTAAAATGTGATCCTCTCAAAAATTCAAGAAACCATAAAAATAAGCTCTCCTCAAAACTTTTCTTGCGCAACTTGCACCATAATACCCCCTTCTGGTCACCCCTGCCCTTGATTTTGGATGTTTTAAGATTATTATTTACCTTTCTATATGAAAGTAATGCTTTAATGTACAATAACTAATTAATTTATTAGAGTGAGAGATAGGTTCATTTGCTATTTTGTTTATTATCAAGCAAGTATAATGTAATTTGTTAGTTGATGTTAAATGTAAAATTTTTTTTTCATAAACACAAAATACCATTATATTTTATAAAAACTATTTTAAATAAATATAAGATATATATCATAAAATAATAGATCTATTTAAAAAAAAAATTAGAGATGGGTATACAGTTGAATGTTCAAATTGTGCAATCAAAAAATTATGTTTATTGAGTTTGCTAAACTTAATTTTTATAAAATTAATATATAACTCAATAAACTTAATTTTTTGACGGCACATCCAGACTATTTTCCATCTATATTTCGAAGTCTATAATTTTTGTATAAGAATAAAATCTCTGTGAAAAGCCATTTAAGTAAATTCAGTGATCGCTCAACATATACAGGTTTGATATCCACCACAGGCGGAAGGGAGGGGGAAAACGAGGATGGGCTTTCAGGTAGTAGTCCCCTCAAAATAGAAAAAACTAAACAAGTCTTACGAAAAAAATATTAAAAGGTTATCTGTAAAAGTATTATTATTAGTATTATTCCTGTAATGACATTTAATAAGCTTACAAGAATCACTTTCGCACCATTTCATATAGGTAGTTAGGATCTTTCTTGTTCTTCCGAAGAAATAATCGTTATATATATATGTATATACAAACACACACATATATAATTTTTTTTTTTTTTTGGCTACAGACTTTGTAGATCTTTGACCGCGACATGTGATCTTCTAGATCACATCCTGATTCCAGTACACGGGAGTAGGGTCATCAGTCATATGCCCGGTCGGTGTGAGTTGCCTCCAGTGGTTTGACGGGCCTCACAAACCTGGGAGAGGGATCTCGGGCAGCGTGGCTTTCCTTGGTGGACAGTCACCCATCCAAATGCTAACCACGCTCGATGTTGCTTAACTTGGTTATCTATTGAAAGCGCCTTAGCCCGCACGGCTACCCCAGCCCCTCATATACCTGTATATATATATTTCTATATATATATATATATATATATATATATATATATATATATATATATATTTGACAAGTAATTTTTCATCAGCCGTGAGTTGACCTTGGAGCTGGAAGACCCTCCTGGGGCAAACCTAGCCTCTATAAAGTGGGTACTCTTCATTACAGTACTCTCAAAACCTGGCGGTTGAGCATGATATTGGCCCGTCACCTCACGGTATAAACGTTGGCTTTGTAACAGTACTTCATCACATTGTACTGAAACCCATAACCCTTCATGGGTTGTTAGTGGTACAGGTTTTATATATATATATATATATTAAAGCTTTTGGGCTGAAGTATCTCCTCCCTCAAAAATTAAATCCTGGATCCGCTAGTGATATCTCCGAGTATTGTTAATCATAATAGAGAGAACATTAATAGTATAATTTCATATTTTATTGCCCTCTGCTATTTTCATAGTATAAGACTACTTATAGTCCAGTCAATGAATGCTCGGAAAGGAGAAATAGAAGGAAATGGCGGGGACACAATTTTGACCTTAGAACATTGTTTGGACTAGTAATGAAGTAAAAATATTAAAAAAGAAGAAGCACCTAGAACGTTTTTTTATTTTAGCTTATATCAGGTAAACTAGCCATCGCATCGACAAAGACGTTCTTTATTAAATTAAAGCTGATAAAATTACAATATGATTGATTGTATATATTTTTGCTACTTCGCTTAGTTTCCGAAATACCCGTCCTCAGCTTTGGCTAATTGTGAAAAAAAAAAAAAATTTGCCTCATGTTTATGGCTATATTTCAGATTTTCGCATAAACCAGAAACTCTATCCATCGCATCGACAAAGACGTTCTTTACAAAATTAAGCTGATAAAATTTACAATATGATTGATTTTACATATTTTTGCTACCTCGCTTAATTTCCGAGATACCCATCCTCAACTATCGTGAATTTGGAAAAAAATTTGTTTACCTTTTGTTTTTTCTATATTGGACTAGCTAACCCTTGATTGCTTTATTCTATGATTAAGTCATAGAAAAGAAAGTTTTTAATAATTAAATTTTCTTCAAGAATATATATTATAATTTATCTCCAACGGTTCAAAACTTAGATCAATTTTAACTTTATATATCAATTCCGAGAATTTACAGAAAATATATACATTTTCTATAATATATGTGTGTGTGAATTGAATATATATATATGTGTGTATATGAGTATCAACGTAGAGATTTAGATGTATAGAGAGTAAGAGCAATATAATAACGTAATAAGTTTTAATTTATGGAAGAAAGACTTACAAAAACAAATAAATAAAGGCACAATTATAAAATTGGATATTAAAAAATATATTTTAAAAATGATTGAAACAGTTTTAAAAATAAGTAATGAATTTGATAATACAACAGAAATATTGTTAAGTCTTGCTGAATAATTATTCATTATTATTATTATTATTATTGTTCTACACAGCATATTAATAGTAAATAAAATAAGAATTTGCAACTATATATGGATACATATATTAAATTTGTTACTGCCATATTTTGTTCGTAATAAATAAATGCTAAAATATACAACAGATTTTTTTTTAAAATATTTGATTCATTCCATGATAACATTTAACTGAAAAAAAAGGCAGACTTAAAACTAAATAGTATATCTTTTTTTTTTTTTTATATATATATATAAAAGCGGATATAAAGCATTGCTTCATCACAAGTAAATTAATTAATCACTTCCTTCTCTTTAATTCTTCAAATCTCCGAGCTATGTCGTTGAAGTCGTCCTCTCCATCAGAAGTATTACTTGGTTCGGGGAGGAGGTTATCACTTGGGACAGAAGGTAATTCAGGAATGGAAATGTCAGGCGACATTTTTGATCGAGGCATAGGCTTCGGTTGATCATTCACCTGGAAAAAAAAAATTATTTCAAGTTTTTGATGGATTATTAAAAATAAAACTTAATTAAATGCTTTGAAATAACAAATTAATATTATATGAATTTTAATTTCAAAAAGGAAAAATATTTCACTGGGGTAATAAATTTAAAAAAAAACTTGTACCACTACCACCCATGAAGGGTTTTGGGCTCAGTAATTTGTTAGGAAGTACTGTTTCAAGGAAACAGTTGTGCAGGGATATGATCGGGCCAGGATCATGCTCAACCCTTTAATTAATTATATAATTAAGAGTACCCGCTTTATAGAGGCTGGGTGTGCCCCAGGAGCATCCATGGCTGATTATTTGACATCAGCCCGATTAGAACATAGGACCTTGAACATAGGGTTCGGCAGCCCAGTGCCTAACTCATTAAGCTACTCCGCCCATGGAGTAAAAAAAAAAAAAAGTGGAAAAAATGTTTTTTTTTTACACACCTAAAGAGAAACAATAAACATTAAAATTGGGACTCAGTCATTCGATTAATTGAAGAAATTAACAAAAAAAAAAAAACACCATTGAGAATTGATATACACTGACGCAAAAAATTCCACCCACTTGTTACCCATTAAGGAACCACGTTGGAAAGATTGTCTCTGGGAAAAATTACAGGCTGCATATCTTTCGTTTCTTCTTCTTCACACCCTTTCATGCCCGTCTGGAGATCGAAGAGCGAATCTTGACTCATCTGTAAAAAGTACAGCACTCCATTCGTCCAATGGCTGTGTTCTCGAGTAAAAGCCAGCTGTGTTACTCTGTGAGTTCTGGTCCTCTTACTGGACAAAAAGCCGTTAATCCATACTCAATTAATCTTCTCTGAGCGGTACGTTCAGAAATTTGCACACCTTGAACTCGGGCCTTCTATTGTAAGAACCAGTTTCCCAAAAATGCCTGACGGCGTCTCGTAAAGTTTCATATGGAACTCCGATGGCATTAGCTGCATATCTAATGGAACTTCCATCATCAATAAGTGCCACACCACGCACAACATCCTCAGCACTAAGAGGCATTTTTAAACTTAATATTGAAAAAATTAAAAGCTGGAGACTAAGAAATGTGCTGCAAGAAACGGCACTGAACTAATGATACTGAATAAATATTTTGATTCCATAGAAAGTGAACATTGGAATCTAGAATCATTTCATTGAATTAAGGATTAAGGGTTATTGCCCTCTATATTAACAGTCCTAATTGAAAACAAACAAAAAGATTACCTATTTAATCATTAAAAACAATAGACCAATCCAAAGCAGAAATATTTTTAGAAGAAAACATGCAAAAACCAAGTGGGTGGAATTTTTTGCCAGTCAGTGTATACAAATAATGAGATGTTCAACTGCTGGTTTCTATGGATACTATTTTTTATTATTTTTTTTTTAAATAATCATTTATTTCTTAGGTTACACATACAATAAATTTGCCATTTACTAATGTATTCAGCAAATATGATATCAAGGAGAACAAAACATAGAAAAAAAAAAATAAATAAAAGAGTAAAATGAAAATACGATAACATAACACAAAAAGAAAAGATAACACAGGAAGCAGCTCAATGGTGTGTAAGTCTCTTGGCCAGCGCCTCAGCAGTCTTCTGGGCGAACTATATGGATTTGTAGCAGTCGATAGAGCTTCAGTAAGTGGAATGGAATTTAGAGTCAGTCTGTCACGAAAAATATTGGTCTGTGGCATTTGCCGTGATAAAAGGGTGCGTCTACAATTTTCGCACTACACTTTTGACTGAAATATTTTTATATTTGGTGTGTTTGCTGTTCCCGATAGCTCGATACCATATGTCCAAATAATCAAACTATATATCTCTGGGAATGTTGCAGTTGTTAAATAATATAAAAAGACTTAGATAGTCTAACACAGCTGTCCGAAAGAAGTTATATTGTCCGAGATGTCCTAGGATATCTCAGAACTATTCTCTTTCAATAGAATTTATTTTTGTAATAGACAATAAATAAGGACCGCGATGATATAGACGAGTTATGGGTAGAGATCAGGGATAAAATTAAAGCAATCGGTGGCTCCTGTCTTGGGAAAAAGGAAAATAAAAAGAACAAACCGTGGTTTGATGAAGACTGTTTAAACATGTGTGATAAGAAAAAAAACTTCTAAATTAAAAGCTCTAAATAATCCTAGCAAAGACAATCTCGAATACTTCCGAACCTCAAAGAATGAAAAAAAAAATTACTAAAAAAAAATCTTAAAAATACAATTGAAATAAAAGCTAATAGAATTGAAAATGATGTAAGAGACATGTACAAAGGTATAAACAGATCATGTAAATATTTAGAGCCTGTCACGTCTGGAATGAGGGATGAAAATAACAATATGCTGAGCGATCCGGTTGACATATTAAATAAGTTTAAGGACCACTTTGACAGTATTTTAAATACTGGAAATTATGACCTGTGTCCTCCTTCTGAGTACCAGAGTGCTGAACCGTTAATAGAAGAACCGAGTAAAGAGGAAGTTGAAGTAGCTATCGGAAAATTAAAATCTTACAAAATATTCCTAGTGAACTAATTAAGGCATGTGGGAAAGCTGGAGTTTCTAAAATACATTTATTGATTAAAAAGATCTGGGAGAATGAGAAAATACCTGAAGATTGGAAAGAATCTATTCTTATTCCAATTCACAAAAAGGGTCCGAGGACGGATTGTAATAACTATCGAGGAATTTCACTCCTTTGGGTTCGCTAAGCCTTTTATTATTTTATTTGATTACTATAAACCGCAAAATAATTATCCATATGACACCATGACATTTTTGGTTTGCTCGACACACTTTTTTTTCCCTCAAATTATTTAACGATTTAAGTGAGGAAAGCTGTTTTGTTGAGTTTTGAGTACCTGATTAAGCCGGTCTTCAGATTAAAAAAACACCAAATTTCGAGAATTTTCGTAGATAAAAATGTTGTAGGTTACGATAAGATGAAGCTATTCATGGAGTTTTAGGCAGATGCTTGATAAAATGGAATCTGTGCCACAGACTACTGTTTTTCATATGAACAATTCGTATGGCTAAAAGAAATAAAAAAAATAGTTCAAGTTAAAAAATTTTCTTGAGCAGTTTTAACGAAAATTATCAACTGAAACCAACAGCTACTCTATACACTTTCCCCTCACTACTAACTAAAGTGGTATTGTTAAGATTCATTTTGCTGTGACAAAATTAATATCAGCAGATTAGAATAGAAACAAAAATGAAACAGCAGAAAAACAACCAGCATAGCAACAAATAGCAGGCTTAGAATACTTACCACTACAACCTATGAAGGGTCTTGGGTTCAGTTCTATTTAGGGAAAGTACTGTTTCAAGGCCAGCGGTTGTGCAGGGAGGTGATCGGGCCAGGATCATGCTCAACCACCAGGTTTTCCCCCTTAATTAATTATTTAATTAGGGGTACCCACTTTATAGTGGCTGGGTGTGCCCCAGGAGGGTCTTCCTATCCCAGGGTAGCCTCACGGCCAATGAAACAGAATAAATTTTCTGCCATGAGCCAGGATTGGAACCTAGGACCTTGAGCATTGGAAGCTTAGTGCCTTATCACCCCGCTCCAAGAATACTTAAACATTATGATAATTATTAATAGTGTTAATTTAAATTTTTTTTTTTAATTCAGTGTTAGTGTTTCGACCATTCAATAATTGAAAAATAAATAACATTAGTTCAGATCCAACCCCATCCTAGTCAATAAAGACTAAAATATTACAAATTTATTGCAAAGTTTAATCTTTTGACTGATATTTTAACACACATACATATTTCATCTTAACAGTAATTTTGAAAATAGTGCAGATCTGAAATGTCAAATGGTTATCTATAATCGACAGCCACACTACAATAGCATGGAAGAACAAAAACTAAAAATTTTCAGGAGACAAAAAAAAAATGCTTAAGTTTTGTTCTATGAGCATTATAATTTTTTTGCATGTCTAAGACAAAGATGCTCTATGTAACTTTTTTTTATTGTATTTCTACCAAATAATCTTTTAGAGCCTTTACTTCTAACTTATAGCTTTTTAGTTGCTTTGAAAAATAGATATTAGTTAGCTAAAAGTAATCAAATTTATTATAGTAACACCCATAACTTTATTAATAATGATCAAATCATGACAGGAACAAAGTCAGTTTCCAAAATGTAAAGAAAGGATACTTCAATCAAATGAAAACATTTGTAAAACATTTGACTGGAAAGTAAATATTTGATCATATCAGTTATTCATTTTGTCTCCCGTTGTAGGGGCGGCTTGAATAGAGTGCATGCACCCCATTTTGGTTAATAAACTGTGACAGTTCTGGTTAATAAATGACCTTTTAAATAGCACCACGGCTCGAACGAATGAGTGCTTGCAAGCCAGATGGTATCTTCCTATTCCTATTTATTGTATTATATTCATATTATTATATCTTCATATTTATTGTATTATATTCATATTATTGAAATTGTAAACCAAAAGAAAAACAAATGTAATAATAAAAAAATACTTTTATTTTACAACATATATATTAAATAGACCAAAACATTATACAGATATAATGTAAAAACATTACAAGACATATATAAAAAAATAAACGAAATAATAAAAATAGACAAAAATAAATTAAATAATAAAAAAACACATAAACAACATATGTACACATAAAAGAAACAATATAAAAAATTCTCGAGAAACAAAAAAGAAATCCTCGACCCCTCTAACCACGTTCCTTTCCTTATAGAAACGTTTTTGTTACAATTACGAAAGCATTTCCATTTCGCCTTCCCGTCAAACTTCATTTCATGACCTTAATCACAATATTTCACCTATGCAATATTTGATAGCTCTTCTTCTGAAGACGGCAATTCGAACAATGTAACAACATCCATAATTTTACGAAAATAACACTAATGGAACAAAAATAAACGATGGAATAACTCACAGCTTACACGAGGAACAAAAAATAAACAATGCAATAACTTAGGTTAGATGAGATAAGAAGGGAGACTATGTGATATAAGATTAGATAACAAGGGAAGTTTCAACCCGACTGGCTATTTAAGGAGTATCAATTTTATTCACTACCCTTGTTTGATTTTTTTTTTTGTTGGGTCCTCCCCTTCCTCGCCTTTTTAAGGCTATACGGGGTTTTCCTGGGCCAGGGAGTGTGGGCGGGGATTTAAGAGACTTCCCCGGCACCGGGACGCGAACTCCTGACTATTTTAAATCCATTGTCTCATAGATCAGGTTGCCGGGCAATAGTGGTGCTGTGCACACACGTTAGCCTGTTCGGCCACCCCGCCCACAACCCTTGTTTGATTTTAATATAACGATCAGTGCCGTAATTGGCGACCATGGTCGTTTATGACGACGAAGTTTACCCCTTCAAGGTCATTATAAAAGGTATCCATTGTATTTTATTTCCAATATGAAAAAAAAATATTTTTGTACTAAATAAATTCCCAGACTTTAAACAATTTTTCCCTTATTTCTCCCTGAGTTTTTCCTGTTTTGAAAATTTCATGACTTTTCCCATTTTTCCAGGTCGATCCCCACCCTGAATAAGCAACCATATTGGATTGGTGGGGGAAAAGGTTACTATGACACCGACAGACTGAAGAATTAAAGCAAAGTTGACAAAGCAACAGCAACAAAGACAAAGAAAGCTTTTTAACTTGAAAAAAAGGAAGGAAGTAAAATAAAGGGAAAACAAATTTGCATTAATGAATTTTTACCTGTTTATTAGAGTCTGGCTGGGCTCCGTAAGGCGGGGGAACATAAGTCTGAAAGGTAAAATTAACAGAAATTCTTCATCGAGTCATGAATAAAAATATTTTCTAGCTGCCAACCTTTTCATGTATTAATAAAACATCTTGAGCGGATATTTAGAAAAATTAATAGAAGAAATAAAAGAAACAGAAAATAAATAAATAATAAAAAAAAAAAAAATAATAAACAAAATAAAACTGCTTAAAATTATTTAGAAAATATTCATAGATATTAAAACGAACTGCTAGATAATGAAATTTAAAAATGAATTTATGAGAATAAAAAAAATAAATATATTTCACTAAATGGATACATGATAAATTAAATGCATAGAGTATCTCAGTTCAAGATCACCATAGCACGCTATTTCCAGATTTCCAATTAATGGCAAAAATTAGCCAAATATTAACTATCCTATTTAGATGTGACATTGCTGCCTTAACTTACCAATGCTAGGTTATGTTCCCGTCTTTTTAACACGTTAATTTAATGTAAAATAATAAAATATGTAATAAGGAAAATATCTTCTGCTGAAAAATTAGTCAACATAGATCATTTGCCTTCAACACAGAATGCTAAATAACGTAATTAAAATAAAATTGAAATTCTCATCCCACCTCTCCCGTTAATGAAAGATACGGAGTACAATAAAATACATGTAGAAAATGTTTTTTTTTTTTCCTGTTGACATTATAGAACTTTGCCGCCATAACAAGCCTAGTTCATCTCTGCCTATTTCTTTCCAGTTATTTGCATGCATCTCTATTGATTCTACCTATCCATCTGCTTTTTGGCCTTCCATGCGGTCTTTTGCCTTCTATTGAGGCATTCATTGTTACATAACATAGAGGCTTTCAGATGGATTGCCACAAGCTACATGCCCAGCCCATCTTAACCTCCATGCCTTCATATCATGGGATATTGATTGACCTGTTTCTGTAAGCAGATCTTTATTGGTCTTTCTTCTCCACGTGTTCTTACTTCCCCGGTTATCGTGCAGAAGATTTTTCTATCAAATCTTTCAATACTTTTTTTCTAAGAGGCTGGTTAGTGTTCAGGTCTCACAGCCATATATAATAACTGATTTTATCATAGCATTGCACACCCTTAATTTGAGATTTCAATACCCTTGAAAGGGAAAAGAAAGCTCTGCTATACACTGGTCTATTTCTGACCATTGGTCATTCATTGAGGTTATTGTGGAGCCGAGGTATTTGAATTTTTCTACTTCCGGGAATGATTTTCCTTCTATGTAAAATCTGTTATTGTGGTAGAATTTTCTGCTTTATTATCAAATATATTTTGTTTTGTGTTAATTTACTTATTCATTTCTTATTATTTATTTTTTAGACCGATCTGCTCTGCTTCTCTTATCAGAGTCTTAGCGAATTTCTCAATGTCCTCTTGATTACTTATAAGGACAGCTATACCATCTGTGTATCCAAGGATTTTATGATTCATTCCGACGTAGAAGTCTCCATATACACCCTGTATATAGCTTTGCTTCCGATACTTTCTACCCCCAATCATCATTTTATATTTTCTTTAAGTTTATTCTACCTATTTTATTTTACTTTAAATTTATTCTACCTACATTTTTTAGACTATACCTTTCACTTAAATATATTTTTTTGTTTAATGTTAATAATTTCTCATACCTATTGCTATCTTTTTTTTTCTTAGCCCTCGTGAAGGTCTGAAATTCAGGCCAAGACGTCGGCAAAAATAAATATAAAAATAACTTATTTATTTAAATTTTTTGGCTTATCACCCCAACCAATCTTCACTTCAATTTTAAGAATATATAAAAATTACTTAATAGTTAATTACTTACATTAATGGTTTTAGCATCGTAAGGAGGTGGTACATCATGGTTAACAAACGTAGGTGGTATGTTATATGCAAACGGAGGTGGTCCTCCAGGTGTCTTTGTTTCTGAAATTTCTTCCAAAGCGTTGATAGCAGGCACTGCAGGTATAACTGTATTATTTAACGCCTGAAAATAAAAAAATATAATAATAATTTCAAGTAAATTATTGTTTACTAATGAATGAACTTATTCCCGAATGTCTATTCGTTTCAGGATCTGTAGAATAACATCTTAAATTTTATATTGGACGAAATAGCATGTTTTGCCATTTTTGGCTTAAATTGCACGATTTTGATTTTTGTTGCATTAATTGCACATTTTTCTGCAGTTTGTGCTAGATTAAATGAGTTATAAATATTAAAATATATGTGTGTGCAAATATTTATTTTCACTTACCTATATATGAAATATATAGTAAGGGAAAGTATTGCGATAGTGAAAATTTTCGAATCCAAGATTTCAATGGAAATACACTTTTTGAGGTCTGCTGAGTCTAAATAACTAAGTCTCACAAAATGGTCTGTGTATTTGTGTGTGTGTATGTGAACAGTCTAGTTCAAAAGACGAAAAGTCTTACGAAACTGAAATTGCGTATTTAAGGTTTGTATATACTTCGGATGTTTGATGTTTGATGTACACTGGCCAGTGTTTCAACTGCATCCCGCAGTGCTACATCCTATGCCCTGATGAAGACCTGCAAAGTAGGTCGAAACGTCGGCAAAAAAGTTTAATTATACTATTTCTATAATTTAGTATTTATTTAACTGCACTCCCCGATCAACTCCTTCTCATATTATATCACGGTCAACCATCTCTACATCATTATTTTTAATTAAAATTAAATATCTGAAATCAATTCTTCTGATCTATTTAATGTTTACTTAACCTTCATACCTTAAATCTTTGTAAGTTCCTCTACATTACTTCAATCCTTGCATGTGCCAGTCAATTAACCAATTTAAGAGAAATTTAAACAAATACGTTTAATTATTTGTCGGTTAATGATAAGAGACCTTTTTATATTTTTTTGTGAGTTATCTGTAAATTTTCTATTATTAATATTAGTCCTCATATTTTTTTTTTCAAATTTATCTTTCTTCAAATAAATACTAGATTATTTAAAAATAGTATTTTTATATAATCTAGTATTTATTTGACCGCACCCCCAACCAATTCCTTCTCATATTAAATAATGGTCAGCCATCTTTACATCATTAAAAATTAAAAATAATGATCTTCAAAGTATTTTTCATGTAAAATGGTAATAAAATTGTGTTTTTCTACCAGACTTCCGTCACAGGAATTGATGTGTATTTATAAATAAAAACTTAATGTTTGATGTCAACCTTTTAAATATTTCCCTCTGCTTACGGGACACTCTGTATAAATTAATATATTATAATCATTAACACAACCTACATTCTTCAGAGAAAAATAATTATATTAATTTTCTTAAAAATGAAGTATTTATGGTTGTGTTGATGATTATATAGCAACTTCCTAAAACAACTAAACGATTTTTCTTTAAAAAAGTTAATACAAAAATTTTGAAATGACCCATATAAGGATTGAAAGGTTAATAAATATATAACACAAAGATACTTACAGGATAATTAAAAGGTTGGAAATCTGAAACAATGGGTTGCTGGGGGTAACCGATAAAACCTGGAGGTCTTGGTGGCCCACCTAAATTGTTTGATGCTCCTCCGTTCGAATCAAATAGTAATGCATCCATACCCTTTGACTGCTCATATTCTCTCATCACCTAAAAAAAAAAAAAATCAAAAATTAATAATAAATATTAAAGTATTAGAACATTAAAAAGTAGGTAAAGCATATGATTTTTAATTAAAAGATACAAAAAAATCCGTGGTCAACATCAAAGTGCCCTATACGCAGAGAGGAAGTGGCCATAAATGAATAAAAATAGAAAATCGTCTTTATTCTGGGACTAGATCCCTTGAGAATAACAATATTTTTTAAACCAATTGACAATAAATCTGGCCAGATGACCTATTATAATAAAGAGTAACTACAATCTAAGTAATAAAATGAGTATATAAATAGTTTTGAAGGGTATATTAAGGAAAGCAGATGGGTACAAGGGTTGCAATATTATAATATTGGTACAAAAAAACGGCAACATACTAATAACTAAATAAAATTGGAAATAAATGCTAAATAAGTTTTATAGGTAACCAATTTTAGTGCTACAATATAATTAAAAAAAATAAATAAAATAAGAATAAGAATAAAAGAAAATAACTAGAGTAAATAAATTAATAAATTATTTCAATTATTTATTAATTAATAAATTAATAAATGTTCCTTAAGACGTTTAAGTGAAAACATGTGAAGGTATTGTGAAAAAGTAGATAGGTATTGTGATCTACCTATGACGCAATAGATTACGAGCAGAAAATGAAAACACAAACACATACATACATCCCCACATAGAGAGGAGAGTGCAGAAGTTAAGTAAAAAATAAAATACTTTTAAATAAAATAAAATACACTCTTATGAATAGAAAAGATAAAAGGTAACAAAAACAATAAAAAATTATACCTACTCACACTGCTTTGTGAGAGGTGATCGAAATTCTGTTTCATACTCAAAACAGAAGAAAAAAAAAATAATGTATAAAGAAAATTAAAACCTTGTTGCATCATATATACTTAGCCAGCATCTGATTGAATTGTGAAAAGGAATTGGAATAAGAGGGTTTTAAATGTGGATAAGGATGGTGCATGGCGGATTTTTAATGGTATGGAATCCCAGAATGCAGTGGAACGGATAACAAAGGAATGTTCAAATGAGGCAGATTTGTGTAAAGGCGTATAAAGGTCAGAAGGACGTGACCTTGTGGAGAGGGTGTGGATTGATGATTTGAATTGCAGGAGATTGTATTGTACGGACGATGATTAGAGGATAAATAGACTGAGAATAGGCCACACAAATCCAACTTATTCTAATCACATTAGCGAACAACCACCACTAAAATGCCAGTATTGTAATAATAGCAACACCGTCAGCCATATCTTCCAATAATGTCCTATTTATGTTTCAATTCTAAATAGATTGGGACTAACACCACATATATCAAACATTCTAAAAAATGAAGAAGACACCATAAAGCTAATATTGAATTTCGTGAAAACAATTGTTTAGGGAACACAGCCAACTTCCCATTGGGATTTAATTTAAATTAAATGAAGAGTAAAACAATACAGCTGCGATCTCGAGCATACTGACTATATATCTCAGAAGTTAAGCAGAGTCAGCCATTACTGAAGAGTAGACGCTCACGCATTTTAACTCACCAGGCTGGTCAGTAAGAAAATTAAGAATTCTACTGATTTGATAAACATGGAATAAAAAACTACAGCGGCCGACAAGGAGCCAAGAAAGGAATAGAAAAGAAGAATGAACAAGGAGAATGACCAATAGAAGAAAGGAAAATAGCAAGTATCCCACCCACCCCACTTGTCAACAATCTGCCTCTATGAATTTGAACCAACTCGACTATTTTCGGCATTCCATATACAAGTGTCATCAAAGTCATCCTATCCTACACACCATAAATAGTACTCAAAATTCATCACAATTTATGGTTTATAAATAGAAGAACATACTCAAAAGGAATTTTATAAAAATGCCTGAAACTGATTATTAAAGCTAATAAAAGGGACTAAGCTCATGACTCACAGCCTACATGATTTATAATATATAATATGAATAGTTATATGAACTAGTGATAGGCAAAACTGTTTACCATGAGTAGCAGTTACAACAGTTTCTTCTACTTAAAAAAAAACAGTATCAAAAAATCAGACACAACTATTTCAAAACTTGATGAGTAAAAAAAAAAAGAAAAAAAACATACTTGTCTTCCATTACCTTTACAATATTAAAAAGATATGAATATAATTTCTATTCCCAGAGTAATTATCGATTTAATTGTTAAATTTTGATTAAACCTTCATAATATATCTTCTGTGGGACAAAAAAAAGATTGTTTTTATAATTGCTGATAAAAGTCAAACTTGCATTAAAATTTTAATCCCAAATCATAACATATTTTAAAGGTAATAAGTAAATTTATTGATGAAAATAACGAGAAAATAGTAATTAGATAGGAAAATGATTTAATAAAACTGTTCATTGAACAGAAAGTGTATAGCTGTTTATATGTTGCAACAGTGCGATGGACGGTGTTTCATTGAAACAGCTATCAAAACAATAGAGCTGTTGCAAAGACCTATATCTGTTTCAAAGGGCTGTATCTATTTCTGAGGACTGTATCTGTTTCAGAAAACTGTTTCTGTATTAGTTCTAGGAAGCTGTTTAAATTACTATTAGCTTTCCATATCTGTTTTAGAAAACTGTTAAATAAAACAGGTTACTGTATCTGTTTAGAAAAGCTGTTTAAATTAAACAGATTCAGTGTTTCTCTCTTTTCCTGTTGGTATCTCTGTCTCCATCTACTAAACCTGTACTGTGAGATGTCTTGGGTAAGTTCTAAAACAAAGCACTGAGTTCATCGATGGCTTCAGTTTAGCTGTTTAGAGATCAATTCGATGCCATCGATGAGTTCAGCACTGATTTTCACGAACCTGTCTCCTGCATATGAAACAGTTTACTGTCTCTGTTTTAATGAAAGAAAGTGTTTAAATTGAACAGGTTCCTACTAAACACCCTAACACTAATATGAACATAAAGAGCCTCTAAATTTCAAGAAAAAAATTAGAAACTCAATATAGATAAAAAAAGGTACTTGTTTAATGCATATTATATATTATTATCATTAATGCATATTATACCATAAATGCATTTTAAAGGTGTTAAAAAAGAAATCCTCGACCCCTCTAATCATCTTCCTTTCCTTATAGAAACGGTTTTGTTAGCAAGTCCATTTAATCTTCCCGCCGAACTTCATTTGATGACCTTCATCACAGTATTTCACCTTTGCAAATATCCCGGCTTCTTGACTATATTTGATAGCCTCTTCTTTCCCTAATTCCCTAATTCCCACAATGTGACAACATCCATAATTAAAGAAGACTTAACTTTCAGCTTACACAAGGAACAAAAAATAAACAAGGGAATAACTTAGGTTAGAGGAGATAAGGGAGGTTTTGTGAAATAAGATTAGATAACAAGGGAGGTTTTGACGCTACCTGCTATTAAACAAGTACCAAAAAAAAAATACTGAGTTTCTAATAACAGGACATTTCTTAGGAATTATGCTTAATTATTCTTAAGGTAATTATAGAAACTGTGATAGAGTGTTGATAACTGACAAATAATAATTTTAATAAAGGCACATAAATGAAATAAACAAAACATAAGTTACACATGAATATTGTTACCTGTGGGTCAGGTTCATAAGAAATATTAAATATTTTAGCAATCTCAATCAAATATTTCTCGATCAAAATTTTAGGTGGAGCTTGAATTGTGAGCTTATGTTTCAATTTTTCTGATATAGCATCAACTGAACTTGATCTACATTCCTACAAGTACAGAAAAGACATAAGTAATTGATAACTTATCAAACAGAAACATGAAAGTAATATATTAGGAGTTATGTTTACTTCTGTATATTTCTTTCCAAACTTCAATGTCAACTGGTCAGAAATAATTTTAAGTTCTTCAACTTCAGTCGCCAGCCGAGGAGCAACCCACAAAAGGCTGGAAACAGCTTCAGCAATGCTCGGATCCAAACCCCTAATAAATTACACATTATAAAGGTAAGAAGCAAATGAAAAGAACAAAAATAAACTATAAATGGTACAAGAATTTTCCATTTATGTAAACTTACTTAATTTCTTGAAGTAAACCAAACCGTGACAGTAAAAGATCGCAATACATTTCAACCAATTCCATAGCTTCAACCATGTAATCTTCCCTTATGATATGTTCCACTCTAATTTTAGCTCTTTCATACTTTCCTTCAGTAATGTAATCAGCAATTTCTTTCCTAGCTTTTTGAGCAAGTTCGGTTTTCTTCTTTTCGAGTAGTTTCAATCTATTAATAGCTAATCTAAGATTTGTTTTCAATTTCGAATAGTTAGCACCTGACGAAAACATAACTAATAAAAGAATAAAAGTACTGACAAAATAAAACTTCAACAATACAAGACACTCGAACTAAACAAATACCAGAAGTGACTCACTGACAGCTGATAGCAGGACAACATAACCTGCTCAAGCAGAACCTCAACACCATCAGAAAACGGCAATATTTTGAAAATAAACTTTAAAAAATTTCGTGGTACCTTTTCAAAATTTAAATTTAATATTTAATTAAAAAAAAAGATGCGTAGAAGTTAAAATCCTATCCAAATACCGAAAAGCGATTATGAGTCATATTTTTCGAAAATATGTTCAAGGATAAAACCTGTAGAAAAAGGAAGAAGGCACTAGCGGATCCAGGATTTAATTTTGGGGGGGCCTCAGCCCGAAAGATTTTTTTTCATAACATATAACGATAATTAATTTGAACAAAAAAGAAAGAAATTAATTACCTATATGAAACGGTGTTTAAGTGGTTCTTGAAATCCTATTAAATATAATTACACGAACAATAATACTTTAAGAGATAATTTTTTAATATATTTTTCCATAAAACATGGTTATATTTTACCATTTTGGGGGGGGCTTCAGCCCGAAACCCTCCCCCCTCCCGTTGATCCGCCCGTGTTGTATTGCATTCTCTCCATACATCTTAAATAATAGTGTACATGGACGAAATCGAAGCTTGATAAGTTATAGATAATTAGCGATTAAACGAACATGATTGGAAGAAAATTTTTTTTACCTTCTCTTCAATTAGCACAGAAAATCCAAATCTCTTTAAACTATTATTCGTTTACAAAGAAAACGATATTCTTACTTGGCTTTATTTACTTTGACTATTTTCCCTTAACTCCAATAACTTGAATTTCGAGCACCATTTGGAAATCGACTCATCTCGCGCCAAATTTGAAGCATCAGAGAATCCAGAGTTCATCTCACCACCCTTGAATAAAAATAAAAATATTTAATTTATTCTATTGCTTTATTAATATATCTTAAAATATACCTATAATCCATACGAAAAAGAATATATATATATATATATATATATATTGATACATTTTTTTCATATGTTAACTGTCAAACAAAATTTTTATACACAATATAAACTGGGACTTTTTTTAGGGGGGAAAGGGGAAGCATATAGATAGAAACTTTCTATTAGAAAGTGAACATAGAGATATGTGAAGTAAATTGAAATATAACAACACTGCAGTTTCAATCAGCGCTGAGCCATCGATGATTCAATCGATGAATTAATGAACGCACTGAATTACTACATTGATACATTTAGAAACTTTCCAAAATATTTATATATTTGTGAGAAATAATATTTTCTAAATGTCTTTAAAATAATGTACCATCTCAGATTTTTGGCAAATGTTATTAAATCCTGATTATTTTAAAGTCAATCAATAAAAATATGATGGAATTATTCATTTACCATAGAATTGATTTATTTATACCATAGAATTATTTATTTACCATAGAATTGATAAAGAATAATTTAAACTCTTATTTTAAAAATATTTACAACAGAAAAGCATAACGTACTGCCTTGTCGAATATTCAATGGGGGGATGAGAAGCCTTTTTAATTTATTTCAGAATTTTAACAAAGCAAATTGTCCATGTTATGTATTTTTGTAGACTGTAGACAGCATTAACTTAATCAAATCAAAGACATCTTGTGTTAACATATAACTTCCTAAAGCCCTTTAAAATGTAATTACACGCATGATTATACTTTAAGAGATAATTTTTTAATATTTTTCTCGATAAACCATGGTTATATTTTACTATTTTGGAGAGGGGGCTTCAGGCCGAAAGCCTCCTCTTCCCCCGTAGATCCGCAGTGTCACTTGATCCCCGTGGTGTCACTTAATTATTTATTATAATTAAATAAATGATTTAATTATACAGTCGTAAAGAGAAAGAGTCAGTGAGAAAAAACGCATAAATTTAATATATTAGACGAGCAAAACATTTAAAATTTCCATTTATTTACCATGGAAATATTTAGTTTTCGTTAAATAATGTATGTAAAAGTAGAAGAAATTGATAGTCCTTAGTTTTTAGTCAGTTTCAATCACTAGCGGATCCAGGATTTAATTTTTGGGGGAGGGGGGCTACAGCCCGAAACCTTTTTTTTTCCTTAAAAATAACGATAATTACTTTGGAAAAATTGAAAGAAACTAACTACCTATATGAAATGGTGTTTAAGTTATTCCTTAAGTACTTTTAAATGAAATTACACGAACAATAATACTTTAAGAGGTATTTAAAAAAAAAAAAAATCCCATAAAACATGGCTATATTTTTCCATTTTGGGGGGGGGAGGGCTTCAGCCCGAAAGCCCCTCCCTCCGTAGATCTGCCCGTGGTTTCAATTAATTGTTTCAAATAATATGTTTTGTGTGTTCTATGATTTTTCCTTTCAGTTGCTACCAGCTAAATATTTTAATAGTAGCACTAATTTATTACGGGCGCTAATGACTTAGATGTTTTAATCCGAAAACATCAAATGATCTATTTTCAAAACATCACAAATCTATTTTTTACTCTAATTAGGGTGGTAAGTGAAAGTTATCTATTGCGCGCACCGCACCAGATTTTCAGTTATTTTATTTTTGTTAACAAAGAAACGCTCTAAAACTTTTAACCGCTTAGAGCCCCCACTTCACATGAAAAAATAAAAGAAAAAATGCTAAATTGTACGAAATCTATTAATTATTATCTTATTTAAATATATATTCTTTCGTCTTAAATACTGCTGAATTAGATTTCGTTGATATGTCATTCGACGAGATTATATCAATTATATTGTCCAAAATAATTAAGATATTTTTAATTTTTTTTAGCCTAATCAATTTGGTGTTAATACTTTTCCATAATAGACTGCTTTATAATTTGCAATTGAGTAAATATTATTATTTATATAGACATAATAATAAAATAATGTTTAGTATATCTTTTAAGTAAAATGTGAAGAATATTTGAAATAATTGTTAAAATTTAATTTTAATGTTTCAATAATAATTACTAAATTATTAATTTAAAATAACAATTAACTAAATATTTTATTAGCTCAGAAAAGAGCTGATGTTTTTATTTGAAAGAAAAATATTGGTATACAGATATTTTAGAAGGACGTTTCATTATTTTGACGGAAGGCCGTAATTCAATAACCATCTTCGCAAACTGAGTTAAGTTCTGACTCACTTCTTGATTTCGATTCCCAAACAATATTTAACCGCTGAAATTATTTTAGAATCATGACTATTTAGATCTACAATATAAAATTTTAATATTGATTTAAAACATTTAAAAAAAAATAGTTACGTTATGTAGTGACATGTACTATATATATTGGTACGATATTAATTACTGTATTCATTTCTTAATAAAAATAAAAGGATTTTTAATTATAATTAATTTTTAAATTTTATATAATTATAAAGGAATTCAATCACTGTAAATTAACTGTTTTTATAGAATAAATAAATAATACAGTTAATAATAATACTCATAAATTTGAAAAGTATTAAAATTAAATATTAATATTTTTTTTCTTATAGTTTCAATAATTTTTTTTTTATTATATATATATATATATATATTTTTATGTTGGCGTGTTGAAAAAAGTAATCCCTTCTCGAAATTCGTTACACCAAAGGTTGGTATTAATATTTTTTCTCTTCAAAAAATCAGAAATATAATACTTTTTTAATGGTAAAATAATTTTAAATGTAGTTTATTCTTTAGAACTGATATTGTTTTAACATTTAAGAGAAAAAAATCAATCTTAATGTAGCTTTATTGTGTTAGCAATTCATTAGGTTTTGAGCCAAATTTCATTTGCAGCAGGCCACCATATTCTTTTGTTGAGTCTGTTGGTCCAAAGCCTGCTCTGCTCCTAGTTTCAGTTTAAGATTTAATATTAATGATGTTTAGTTTGTTCTAGTTGTTTAGTTTTACTAAATATAGTTAGGATTACAATATTAGTGGTAAGAATGTCTTGCTTTTATATAACTATTGATGAATTAATATTTGATTTTTTGCAATATTCAATTTACATTTTTCCCCCTATCATTGAAGGTTGTACATATACACAAAATAATCCCTATTTATATGATTATTTTATGAATATATGTATATATGTATATATAAAATATTTTATTGTTCACATTTTCTTAAATTACAGAGCAAGCTAAGATAGAATTAGGAAAATCATATAAAATTACACTTGCTGCGGCATGCTCCATATTTTTTCCCTTATTCCTTAGTTCAAAAATTCATAACTCCATCGAATTTTGCCCTCCTCAAAAATTAAAAAACCTGTCAAAATAGTTATCCCTCAAAAATTTCGATAGTGCAACTTGTGCCACAAAACCCCCTTTGGGGCACCCCCGTACTCACACATATATATATCGACACACACACACAGATATATATATTTGTATAAATGAGTCAATTTGCATAGAATGTTGTAACAATCTAAATAAATGGAAACATTTTAAAGGCAATTGATTTCCTTGAAAATATCCTGTATATTTGTGTGTATATGTTTTTTCAAGGAAATGAATTATCCTTAAAATTTTCTTTTTATTTAGATCATTACAACGTTCTGGGCAAATTGGCTCATTATCAAACTATCGAAAGTTTATGACATATCTAACATATTTCTATATTATATACTTTTATTATTGTTAAATTTCAATACAATGATATAAAACCAAACTTGATCTTAGCATTTTACTTGCATTTAATAAAATATTTGTCTATTAAAAAAACCCGATACTAGATATTATCTGAGTTACTACCTAGTATAGGGATTTTCGAATCAACATGCATTTCATTAAATTCAAATGAAATGCTAAGAACAAGATTGGTTTTGTATTATTATACTGAAAATAAATGATAATACAATTATATAGTATGGAACTTTGTTAGATATGTCAAACTTTAGGTATTTTGAAAAATGAGCCAACTGGCTCGAAACCATGTAATGAAG